GGTATGAAATAAGAAAATTTTAATTATGTTTAATTGCTGTTTTAAAACACACTGACTTTAAGTTTTTGACTTTTGAAAAAGGGCCGGAAAAATTTAAAAGATTTTTTTCCGGATAGGGTTTAAAATTCGACGGGTAATTTCTGTTTTTTTAAATAAAAAATTATTTTAAAATAATAAACCCTTTCCATTTTTTAATGAAAAAAAAAGGTTTTTTTTCAACTTTTTTTCCCTTCGATGGGGGCTTTGTCTGGGGCCTCAAATTCTTTTTCAACACTTTCGAATAAATTTTTTTCAAATCAACAGAGGCACCCAATGGCTTTTTTCTTGATTAACAGGCTACGAAAAAAAATTGCTTTTTTTATTATCTATCTCTGGTCTCCAACCCCCCTTTACGAGTTTTTAGGGGCCCGGTTTTAGTGAAAACGGGGATTGTTAGAAAAAGGTGAAAAGAAAAGCAAAAAAAAGAAAACCCAAAAAATTGACTGTTTGGGAAAGGTGAGACGGGAAAAATGTTTTTTATCATGGTTAAAATGTTAATAGTGAAACAAGATGATAAGAGATAAAATAGTTTAAAAACACTGGGAGTACAGGGCCCTCGATCAACCAAATCTGCGGCCGATATTCGGCCGCAGTCCCCCACCAAAATAGTATGTTTTTTTCCCCCTAACAGAGGTAAAAATTCCCCCTCGAAACATATAAAGTGTTAAAGAGAAAAATTAAAACTAATGTTGTTTTTGAAAATTAAAATCCATCTATTTGACGTCTATTTTGTAAGAGGAATATCGTACAGTACATGTCTGCACGTTTCCGTTTGTTTTTTTCCCCAAAATCTACCGTCACATATTGGCCTTTCATCCTGTAAAAATGCTAAAATTTCAACAGAAATATGCAGAAGAAAATCGCAATTCCCATCAACAATTTGATTTCAAATTGTTTATTCATGAAATCATTTTTTTTGTCTTCAAAATGTTAGTTTAAACATAGTTTATTTCGAACAAATTCACAATATATATACAGACAATAATGTACACAATACAAACATATTACATCAACCACGGTAAATTTTGCCGTGAATTACAAACTTGTAAGTTTTGTTTTCATGATACTTTATTAAATAACTGATGAAAAACGATCTTATAATAAACAATCAATTTAATTTTATATAATTTACATCAGAAACAACTAGAATTGTGGATGTGTAAACAGAAAACAAACAAATTTTCATTTGTCACATATTTTCGCGAGGCCCGATTTTTACGAATGTTTTACCAAAGTCAAGAAAAGGAAGCTTTGTCTTATTAAAAGGTGTGTTAGAAACACTAGAAATGTAGTGTATGAATAGAATTTACTTTAAGGTCCATGTATTGTTCATATTAGGTGGAAATGGAGACATTTGTCTGGATGTGTTTCTAAATGATTAGGGGGGGGGGGGGGGGATCATAAAGAAAGCTAAGCAGCATAAAAGATTTGATGGTGTAAGGTGTTCAAAATTTTCTTTCAAATCTTATCAATCACTTCTGAAACAGTTTTAGTGTTACCTATTATGGATTTCTTTACATGTAAATAAAAAACAGCTGATATTTAAATAAGTGTATTTGATAATAAAAGAAAAGAGAAAAAATTCCCCCCAACACTAAAAATTCCCCCTGCTGAGGGTAGCGACCCGCTTCCCCAAATTGGATTGAGGCCCTGGAGTAAGACTAGTACTGCAAACCCACCACTGCCTGTTGAACTGACTCAGGTTGGGCAGGTGGCAATGTTACTAGGGAAGTTTTATTCCATAGTATAATGCTATGAGGGAAGAAAGAATACTTATGGTAGTCAGAGGATACCTGTATTTGGCGTAGGGATAAGGGATGCATATGTCTGGTTAATCTATGTGGGGGTTTGAACATAAGTTGGGAGATTAATTGCAATTAGGTTATGGTATAATCTTATAAAACATTATCAGTCTACAGTCCAATCTGCGATGTTCAAGGATCGCCAGCCCAGTTCTTCCTGCATGGCTGTGACACTAGAGTGGAGGGGAGTAATCCCTTTTAACCCATCTTATTGCGCGTCTCTGGATCATCTCAACTTTGTCAATATTGGTTTTAGTGTAAGGAGACCAAATAGTTGAGGCATATTCAACCTGTGGGCGGACCAGGAACTGGTATGCTAGTTCTTTCACTTTCTCATTTTTAGTAATGACATTTCTTTTAATCAGAGTTCCAGATAATTTTTTTACACTGGGGGTAATTACCCCCACTTTTCAGAATGTGGGGGTAAATTTGAATATATCGTAAATCTAAAGGGTACAATTAAATGACTTACTTTTTTGTACAAAAATAATATGATCCTTTGAAAATAAAATATTTTTTAATGAAAATACATTAAAGATATTTATTTTGTATTAATTTAGCAGATATTCAGCGTGAATTCACTTCAATTGAAAGGCCTTTACCATATTCTTATTTTATTTTACAACAAAAATTGGTGACAATACATAAACAGTAACATTACAAATAATCATCAATCAATTGCCGATGTCTGCATGTTTATTGCACCTTCATTAGCCCATACATAGCCAGCTTTAAATTTATGACAAGTCAGATATTTCATTCGTACTTCAGTACCAGTTTCTGAAATTTGAAGCCACGGATAACATTTTTGCCAATTTTCAAGTGTTGTGTTGCGATTCACAATTATGTGCGCCCTTTCCGTTTTAAATACACAATCTAAAATGTCTTCAACAATAGGATTCACAATTATTTTAGTGTGTAACTGAGTTGCGTTAAAAAATTGTCAATTTTTGGAAGCAGCCATGATTTACGTCTTTATTAACAAACGCTTGCAATTATAAATGGAAATCAAGCCACACGTTTTACCAAGCGTCTACGCGATAAAGACATAATTTGACTGGTTTACAGAATGAAAAGTAGTTGGAAGTATTTTGGCGGGTATTAAACGGAAAAAGATACACAGTCAACTGTTAAACGGAAATTGGAATCAGCTGTTTCGAAAATGAAAGTACACACCAAATACGCTTCGATTTTTCATTCTTTGCGTATTTAATTTATAGCGTGCGTAAATGAACGCAACAACTTTGAAATATGGTGCGTATTTAGCTGCTTTTGAAGCGTAAAATACGCCGATACGCACGTTATCTGGAACTCTGTTTAATAAAGCCAAGGGATCTGTTTGCATTGGAAGTTATTCGAGATATATGTGTATTAAATTTAAGGTCAGCAGATAGATCTAGTCCGAGATATTTAGCATTTGTAACAGACTCTAGGACTTGGCCATGGAGCATATATTTGTGTTTTATTATGGTTTTATTTTTGGTGATATGGATGACTTGGCATTTTGAAGGGTTAAACTCCATGTCCCACTGCTTCTCCCACAGAACCATATTGTCTAGATCATGTTGGAGAGTTGGGGGGTCTGAGGAGGAATTGATGGTTAAGTAATACAGCAGTGTCGTCTGCAAATAATCTGACTTGGGATTTAAGGACAGAAAGATGGTAGCTTGTTGATATATAGAAGGAACAAAGGGGCCCTAGGACAGAGCCTTGGGGCACTCCAAAGGTAACTGGGGACTTCAGATGAGCAGTCACTATCCACAACTACTGTCTGTCTACGGCCAATAAGGAAGGACTGTAATCCAGTTTATAATTTGAGGACAAACACCATGTTCTTGAAGGGTATCTAAGAGTTTAAGATGGTTTACTTTATCGAATGCTTTGGAAAAGTCAAGAAGTATGAGGTCTGTTTGTTTGCCATTTGAAAGGTTGTTCACAAGGTAATCAGTAAGTTCAATGAGTTGTGTCTCACATGATCGTCTTATACGTTATATGATGTCCATAAATAGACAAATGACAACAGAAAAAATAATTCTATGCTTGTTGAAGTTCAACATCTTTTTATCAATTCTCTATCTTAATTTTTATGACTATGAGCATGTTACTTTATTGTTAGAATGAAATACATGTAGATAATAAAATAATAGGTATTAATTTTTCTTGCATTATCGTATAATAATGCAAAGTTTATCGTTAAAAATGCATTGTTATTAATCACTTTGTTGTTAATCAGCGGTCCCCTATATATTGTTAAAAGTGGTGTTTATTGTAGCTAAAGATACTTCAGCGCACAGGTTTTATAGTATTGCTAGACCTGTTTGCTGAAGCCAACCCCGTATCAACCAGACCCGTGACATTTTTATGTCATGCTGTAACTCAATAAATTTGCGTGGTCTGGACAAAAACTATTTTAATACAGGTAGTTAGATATATTTGGGACCCATCAGTCTATATTTTTGAACACACAATGTTAAATTGATGAAATATTGCCTCAAAGTTTATCAGCGGGTTCACATTTCATAAAATTCGTCGCCATTGCTGCCCTAATTATCACCTGACCAGCGAGAATTTAGGTCGGATACCTTTGCATGACATTTGGTGACAAGTGACCCAAATGCTATTTTTAATTGAAAACGTGGCTTTGCAATTATGAATAACGATGTATTTATTCAATAACAGACATTGTACCAAAAACATGTTGGACTTATATTGTTTTGAGTGATGATTCATGAATTATTTGTTTGTTTTTATATAAAACCATACACTTACTAAAAATAGTGTATGGTCCGTTACTAAAAATAGATGCTAGAATTTCCAAAACATGAATTCCCGCGAGATCTCATTTGAAAGCAGACTCCATATTGGTAAAAATCCTCTACATATTTCTCTAAAAAATAGTTGGGTACACAATGTCATTGAAGTTTCATTTAAAAACAAAACATGAATTGGTTCAAAATTGATTTGTTTATCAAATGGTATTTTTATTTGACCCAAACTTGTTTAATAAGGGTGATTTAGTAGGTTTTTATGTACGGCGCACGAACTGTCAAATTTTGGTAGCCTTTGCAAATAGAGTTGACCCATAACTTTACTGTCGCAACGTCAAAATAAAAGCGACATATAAAGTTATGGAAGCCAGAACTATGTTTATTGTATATACAATATTGTGTATCATTTTAGGTAATCATCTGCTATGGACGGGGACCTTTATGATGAGTTTGGTAATTACATAGGTCCAGAATTAGACAGTGATGATGATGATGATAGCGATGACTCTGGGGACCAAGATGACGTAGAAAAGTACCCAGATTACGGAGGTGCGGATGTAAGTACTGGATACTACCCAAAGAAGTGTTAAAATGAGCCGCGCCACGACAAAACTAACGCAATGCATTTGCGACCAGCATGGATCTTGACCAGCCTGCGCAGTCTGATCAGAATCCATGCTGTTGGCTATTAGTTTCTCTACTTGTTATAGGGTTTGTAAGCGAATAGCATGGATCCTGATCAGACTGGTCGCAAACGCACTATGTTGGTTTTGTCATGACGCGACTCAAACTATCTCTTAACCCTTGTTAGAACAAAAAATTCTGGACAGATTTAGCTTTATCATTGACCTTTCTTTATATGATAGATGAAATTCAATTATTTGTTTTAGATAGGCATTAAAGAATAGCATGTTTGTGTGTCTGAAATGAATAGAATTTGTATAATTATACATTATAATAATAATAATAATAAAGATTTAATTTAAAAGAGCATCACAATTTGGCATGCTCAGTGTTCCTATGAACCTAGATAAAATGTACATATATACAGTTTTGGACCGCTGAAATCATGGTCTGCACTTTTTCGTTTTGGTGATCTATCCTTTCTTGCATAATCACAAGAAATCACAATTTCATATGTGTTGTTTTTGTGCTTGAAGTTTTATTTGTATGCATAAACATGTGATCTTTTTGCGAAAATTTATACATATTTACTGCGCTTACCTGGAGACCTGCTTTAAATTAAACTCTTCAAAAAGTGACACAAAGTGTTCAATTTGACTAATGATAAATCATTTGATGGATAATATACCATCATTTCATATTCACGTTGTAAGCAAGTCAGTAAATTACACTAAATGTTGGCTATTTTGTTACACTAAATTACACTAAATGTTGGCTATTTTGTTACACTAAATTACACTAAATGTTGGCTATTTTATTACACTAGGACGAGGAGGCTATGGATCAAGATGACGAAGAGGCCTCCGACATGCAGGTTGTTCTTCATGAAGATAAGAAATATTATCCGACACCGGAGGAGGTTTATGGGCCAGAAGTCGAAGTAAGATACATTTGTGCTGTCCGAGTATTAAAATTGTTTTAGGAAATATAGACTATAGGCAAATTGTGTATGATATAAAATAAAAAAGCAATGACTCAATAAAATCGTTTTGTGCCGAAATTAATTCAAAGAGCTTTCAAATGCTGTGGCCTGTGTAAGATAGGTTTTCTGTAATACAGTTGTGGGTGGAAAGATTAAATTGACCTTTTTGCACAGCCTGTACGGACAAGTGAAATATTTTCATAACATTTTATAGATTTTATACGGACAAGTAAAGAGATCCTTTAGCATAAATGGACAAGCAAGTCAAAATCTGATATTAGTTTTTGGTAAAACTATCTCATGACTTTGGTAAAATGTGCATTAATTTTTTATGCATGTTACTTGAATATAGTAATCAACGATAATATGATATTATATAAATGCAATGCTTTCTTGAATTTCAGACAATAGTTCAAGAAGAAGACACTCAGCCTCTATCAGGTAAAGCATTTAGTTACAGTGTGATAGTTTAGTTTATTTGGTAGTTATCTATTTACCATTTAGGCCTGTACATTGAATTTTTTGAGAGGGCTCAAATATAACAGGATACGAAACTTTGACGTAAGCTTACAGAAGGCTGTTTACCCTTATTGTGTAATTGAGTCTAAAAGGCATATTATGCCTCGACAGGAACAAATGAATAATTGAGCCGTGTCACAGCAACACCAACATAGTGCGTTTGCGACCAGCATGGATCCAGACCAGCCTGCGCATCCGCGCAGTCTGATCAGGATCCATGCTGTTCGCTACCAGTTTCTTTACTTGTAATAGGGATGGGCAGGCTGGTCTGGATCCATGCTGGTCGTAAACGCACTTTGTTGGTTTTGTCGTGACACAGCTCATATTTCCTTCTTTAGAAAGGGCAGGCATGAGTTTTGTAAAGTTTATATGGTGGTTTTAGAAGATACAGTGTTCTGCCAAGGTTATAAAAAAATAGGGACAAATGTCTCCTTAAATAAAAAATATTGGGGACATTTTGAATATCAATAAGACATCAAAATTTTAAAGAAAAGATTACCTGATTTTATTTTGATGTTAATCTTCTTTATGATGTTATGAACACTATTTACATATGTACATCACCACTACTGCTTGTTGGAAAACTGAACTTAAACCAGAGAGTTTAACTTTATTTAAATTTAAACTGTTCAAACTGTAACTTGTGAATAACTGAAATGTTTATCATTATTAGAATAAATTATAAAAATAACTTTCTCATTTTCTCACTCCCTCCACACTTCCAATGCCCTTAAAAAGTCAAAGTCTTTCATTGAACCACCTTCAAGTTTCACAGTCATGACATCATTAACAGTCTCTGGTAGAAGTCTATTTCTAGAATGGAGTTTTAGGTTTGGTTTTGTGTACTAACCCCCTTTCACAATCAGAAGTATGAATTGGAGCAGTCAATGCCAAAGAAGCTAATTTTAGAAGGTTTGGATAGTCCTTCCTTATGGTGTTTTTATTGATAAAGATTCCATAAAACAGCCATCTTGTCCCTAGGGTAACCTTCCTGGACTACTGTCTCTTTCACCTTAGACCATTCTACTCTTGTTTGATTTGGATTGAATGATAGGTGTTTGGGTAACCTGGGGCTGTTCTTCTGTTGGAACTGATGTTTTTTCTTCTCCATACTGTTTAATTAATATGTCAATCTTGTCATTTCCCCAATCCATTCTGTCTTTACTAGATAAGAATGTGATGGGTCTCATTCCTAAAACTGCAAATGCATAAATAACATTTGTATCATCATCTGGGAACCTGTCATTCAGCTTCTCAAGAATTTTATCTATGAATTTTGTTTTAATGGAATCAATGTTCTGCTTGCCATGCACCACATGATTTCCTTTAAAGATAACCTTCCCACCACTCAAACTTAAATGTTACATTCTGCAGCTGCTGTAGATATGACCCATGTTCTGCATTTGCTTCACCAGACTTTATCTTCATTAATTCAAAGCTTAGCATGAATCAACTTCAATTTTTACTTGACAAACATCTAGATCTGCTTTTTGGAAAACCAAACACATTTGTGACACAATGGGCAAAACATCCATCAAAAGATAGGTACTGGCAATAAAGTCTTGGGTAGAAAGTTTCTTTCCATAACCCTTTGCTTTGGCATCTTTGTCCTCTGTGAAGTAAGTGATGAGAGAATCCAATACAGTATATACTGTTTTAACTGCAATATAGGTACTTAACCATCTCACCTCATGAACTTCCTTTACTTTTAATGATGGCTCCTCAAGAAGTTTCTGAACTTCAGTCAACTGATGACACCTCTTAGCAGATGCTTTGAAAAAGTAGAAGAGCCCTGTCAATATTGTCTGATATTCAACTAAATAAGGAACTTCATTTGCAGCTTGAGATGTGACTAAGGCTAGTTTGTGAGCTAGGCAGTGATAGTTTAGGCATCATAAGGATTATCTCTTAACATAAATCCTGTCACCCCCTTACCTACACCTGTCATCACTTGGCCCCATCAGTTCCTAAGCCCATTATCTTTGAAGAAGCAATCCCTTTCATGCTGGTCAATGACTTAAGTTCTTTGTATATAGCCTCCCCAGTAAGCAGAATCAACCTTCAAATTGGTTACAAACATAGTACATGGTTTAAAAGTATTAATATCAAGTACTCGAGCATATACAACTAGCTTTTTCTGAACACTGAATATCTGTACTCTCATCACAAAGGAGGCTAATGTAAGGTGAAGTTTCAATACATCTATCAACCTTTTCCCTGGTAACATAAGCTAGTGACTTCAACATATCAACAGCTGCTTTATCAGATGAGTAGTTAACATTTTTAGCAGTATTTAGGTCATCAACATGAGGGCAATTCAATTCTGAAAGAAGAGTCAGCAGGCTTTCATGTTTAGTTAAAGCTATATTTTCCTGCACTATCCAGAAAGTAGACTTTAATGCCACTATGGCAGCAGATTCCTTCACAGTCAAAACTCTATCAACAACTTTTTTTAGGTCACCCTGCATCGATTCAGCATGCCGATTCAGTGTTGTTGTCTTGAAATTTGTATTTTTGGACGTGAAAGCATTGGTCTTATTATGTTTAATGCACAATTTACAGGTCATATAATTATCGGTAGAGTAACTAAGCCACGTGTATTCATTTAACCATTTTTTTTGGAATGTTTTCTGAAGGCTTCAGGGTTGCGGGAGGCTCAGACGATGTGGACTGGTTCGATACATTATTGTTTTTGTCCGACTTTTCATTGTCATTTGGAATTGGGCTTTTCTTTTGAAAAAAATTGAGTATCGTTTTTGGTATTTTCTCTGGCGTCGCCATTATTAACAACAGTAAAAATAAAATAGGTTTTCATTGGCCGTTCTATAATTATAAACCAATCAGAATCGATGTTAGATAACTTACGCGCACTTGCTTCGGTTACCGTGTAATAATTTTAATGCCATGAGAATTGCCACCACTTTTGTCGGATTCGTACTCGGAAATTTCGTACGCGACAATATTCGCACCACTGCATTTTTATGTGCGACATTTGCATTTTTTTAGCGAGAATGTCGCGGATTCGCGGCCTTGGCAGAACACTGAGATAGATGCTTTACACCTGAAGGAAGTAGAGCTTAATTTGAAATTAAATATCATAAAGTTGGAAAATGTGCACAAAGTAGTATTTTGACTTCCATACAAAATACTAAATCACTTTAACTGTACTAATTGCTAAAAAGTGACAGCAGCAACAGATGGATCTGGAAATTGGCCAATGAGTAACATTTTAGAAACTATAACGGGACATCAAAAATAAAAAAAAGATTTTGAGTAATAAAAAATATAAGCATTCCTGAAGCATAATGGGCCTTTAAAAATGTGTGAATGTAAACCCTTTAGTCTCAAAGTAAATAAGTTAACATTAATGGTTTATAATTTTTATTTTCAGAGCCCATCATTGCTCCAGTGAAGAAGAAAAAGTTTTCCATGGCAGAACAGGATTTACCAGATACTGTATACAATATGGAGTAAGCTGCATTATATATGTATAACAATTATCATACATTGTCTTCTTATAAAGACTTTTACTATTTACCTATGTCATTTTTGTGACTTGGTAAAATAGTATGGCAAGCCCATGCATATATTTTGATGTGATGCCACTTGCGTTATACAAACATAGCGATAAGACGCACTTAATGTTAGCGTTACACTATAAGTCAATGATAAATGATTCTTTTTTACTATAAGCAGTTCTTATTCTATGTATGTGATAAATAGAATATTATATTCGTGTAGAGGCTCATTTTTAAATTTATTGAACTTGTTGAAAAAAATTAAAATCATGCTCGCCAGAGGCTCGCATAAGATGATTTTATTCAACTTGTTCAATAAATTCAGAATTAAACCTACATTCATTCAATCTCCTCTATATATTAAACAAGCTGGGATGCACTATAAAGTGATCCCACAAAGATGTTCTTTGTGACAAAACCACAACATTTCATGTCCACAAAATTAAGTGAATTCAGAGTATATTTTATTAAAAAGTGATCCATGATTATAAATTTTAGAATTTTTTGCGGCATTTTTAGTAAGTATATTATGAATTCCATTTGAATTTTTTTCACATATTTTTCATCTTTTATCTCAAAAAATAGAAAGAGAGAAAATGCGTTAGTATGAAATTTAACAGAAAATATTGATAATTTTGTGTTTTAGATTCTTGGCAGATTTAATGGACACACCTGAGTTAATCAGAAATGTTACACTTTGTGGACACTTACATCATGGGAAAGTAAGTTTTAATATGATTTATTTGTTATAAAAACATAGATACGCTTGTTTTTAAAGGCCCATTATGCCCCGAATGCTTTTATTTTAATTTTTCAAAAGCATTTTATTTTTGTTGTCTCATTAAAGTTTTTCAGAAAATAACTACGTTTGCTTGAATCATTTTTTTGCTTCTGTTGTTTTTAGCTCACCTGTCACAAAGTGACAGGGTGAGCTTTTGTGATCGCTTTTCGTCCGGCATCCGTCCGTCCGTCCGTCGTCCGTCCAGCGTCCGTCGTCCGTCCGTAAACTTTTGCTTTAAATGACATCTCCTCATTAACCTCTGAGCCAATTTCATCCAAACTTCACAGGAATGTTCCTTTGGTGGTCACCTTTAAAAATTGTTCAAAGAATTTAATTCCATGCAGCTCTGGTTGCCATGGCAACCAAAAGAAAAATCTTTAAATATCTTCTTTTAAACAACCCTAACAGCTAGAGCTTAGATATTTGGCATAAACATCTTCTAGTGGGTGTCTACCAAGTTTGTTCAAATAAAAGCCCTTGGGTCAAAATTGGCCCCGCCCCAGGGGGTCATTGATTTTCCCTATATGCATATAGTAAAAACTTAAAAAATCTTCTTTTAAAGAACCCAAAGAGCTAGAGCTAAGATATTTGGCATGAAACATCTTCTAGTGAGTGTCTACCAAGTTTGTTCAAATAAAAGCCCTGGGGTCAAAATTGGCCCCGCCCCGGGGGGTCATTGATTTTCCCTATATGCATATAGTAAAACCTTAAAAAATCTTCTTTAAAGAACCGTAAGAGCTAGAGCTTAGATATTTGGCATGAAACATCTTCTAGTGAATGTCTACCAAGTTTGTTCAAATAAAAGCCCTGGGGTCAAAATTGGCCCCGCCCTGGGGGGTCATTGATTTTCCCTATATGCATATAGTAAAAACTTAAAAAATCTTCTTTTAAAGAACCATAAGAGCTAGAGCTTAGATATTTGGCATGAAACATCTTATAGTGAATGTCTACCAAGTTTGTTCAAATAAAAGCCCTGGGGTCAAAATTGGCCCCGACCCAGGGGGTCACTGATTTTCCCTATATGCATATAGTAAAACCTTAAAAAATCTTCTTTTAAAGAACCCAAAGAGCTAGAGCTAAGATATTAAGCATGAAACATCTTCTAGTGAGTGTCTACCACGTTTGTTCAAATTAAAGCCCTGGGGTCAAAATTGGCCCCGCCCCGGGGGGTCATTGATTTTCCCTATATGCATATAGTAAAAACTTAAAAAATCTTCTTTTAATGAACCGTAAGAGCTAGAGTTTAGATATTTGGCATGAAACATCTTCTAGTGAATGTCTACCAAGTTTGTTCAAATAAAAGCCCTGGGGTCAAAATTGACCCGCCCCAGGGGGTCATAGATTTTCCCTATATGCATATAGTAAAAACTTAAAAATTTTCTTTTAAAGAACCCAAAGAGCTAGAGCTTAGATATTTAGCATGAAACGTCTTCTAATGAGTGTCTACCAAGTTTGTTCAAATAAAAGCCCTGGGGTCAAAATTGGCCCCGCCCCAGGGGGTCATTGATTTTCCCTATATGCATATAGTAAAAACTTAAAAAGTCCTTTAAAGAACTCAAAGAGCTAGAGCTAAGATATTTAGCATGAAAGATGTTCTAATGGGTGTCTACCAAGTATGTTTAAACAAAAGCCCTGGGGTCAAAACTGGCCCCGCCCGGGGGGTCATTGCTTTTCCTTATATGTGTATAGCAAAAACTTTAAAATCTTCTTTGAAAAAACCCAAATAGCTAGAGTTTAGATATTAAGCATGAAACATTTTTAAGTAAATATCTACAAAGTTTGTTCAAATAAAAGCCTGGGGGTCAAAACTGGCCCTGCCCCAGGGGTGTCATTGTTTTTAACTATATGTGTATAGTAAAAACTTTAAAAATCTTCTTTTAAAAAACCCAATGAGCTAGAACTTAGATGTGTAGCATGAAACATCTTCTTATGGGTGTCTACCAAGTCTGTTCAAATAAACAAATAAAAGCCCTTGGGTAAAACTTGGCCCGGGGGTGGAGGGGGGGCCTATATACAGGTGAGCGACCTCAGGGCCATCATGGCCCTCTTGTTTAGCATTTGAGCCGTGTCACGACAAAACCAACATAATGTGATTGCGACCAGCATGGATCCAGACCAGCCTGCGCATCCGGGCAGTCTGATCAGGATCCATGCTGTTGGCTATCAGTTTCTCTACTTGTAATTAGGGCTGCAACGATACACCAAATGTTCAATTCGATTCGATTTCGATTTTAGACACTCCGATTCGATTTTTTTCGATTCGATACATTTCTGATTACTTATTTATCTTTGGTATATAATTCTGCTTGTCTGCTCCAAAAGTGAGTGGCCTTCAACCTAGTGCTTTGCTTTTCTGTTGTAATATAACTATTATATTAGCTTATTTGACTTAATAATTGTGTTTATGAGAATAAAAAGCTCTTGTCTATTTGGAAAATAATTCTAATCAGGCAAATAATCATTAATCTCAGTAACATGACTATCACAGATACCTTCTGCTGACTAGGAATTTAACAAAGTATGTTAATTGTAAAGTAAATAATAATGAACAAAGTTTCACAAGGTTGTCAGAACTGAAATTCAGATATTCTGTTTATAAATCCCATAATATGTAAAATGAATATTCAATCCTAATGTCAGTGTTGTCACACAATACTTCTTAGTCTAGTAACTAAGTTACAAACATACCTTTTTGCTGAACTTGAACTAGGCATGTCATGCTTACCAAACAAGTCCACATCGTGTTTTCGTTTCATATATTGCATTAAATTAGACATACTGCCAGACTTTGGATATGACACGTCCGTAAAGCATACTTGTTTGCCGAAAATAAAACATTACGCGCCCACTGATTGGATGACCGAGTTTTAACTGGCCAATCGTATGTAACGTGATAAAGCACGAAGGGAAAGACTAAAACTCTCACTCTTTCAATGTTTATTTTTGGGTGGGGAAAATGTTACAGTTGGTATCGGGAATCGAATCGGCGCTCATAAAACCGGTTTTCGATGCATCGAAAGGTATCGTTGCACCTCTACTTGTAATAGAGTTGGTAAGCCAGCAGCATGGATCCTGATCAGACTGCGCGGATGCGCAGGCTGGTCTGGATCCATGCTGGTCGCAAACACATTATGTTGGTTTTGTCGTGACACGGCTCATTTAATACAGATACAGTGATATTGTATTTTGAATGGAAATCATAAGACTACTTTGTTTACATTTTGCTACTCTTTTTTTTGACAATTTCACATTCAACGCTACTTTCTTTAGGTACATGTAACAAGCATATAAAATGCATTAAAACCATTTATTTTAACATTGTCAATTTCAAGTGTGCCCTTTCTAAAGAAAGAAAAAATCATTCTTTTCTGTTTAAAATTAATAACAGAAATTTATTTTTTTATTTCCATTTCAGACTACATTTGTAGATTGTCTGGTATCTCAGACTCACCCTGAGATCAACGTGAAAGATGATAAAGATGTAAGTATTTGACAATCTCTGTTAATGTTTTATCTCCAGCACTTGCACTGCTTTGAAGTTGTAGCAGTCATTAAAAGAGCTTCATTGAGGTCAAAAAGCTTCACTGAGGTTAAAAAGCTTCACTGAGGTCAAAAAGCTTCACTGAGGTCAAAAAGTTCCACTGAAGTCAAAAAGCTTCACTGAGGTCAAAAAGTTCCACTGAAGTCAAAAAGCTTCACTGAGGTCAAAAAGCTTCACTGAGGTTAAAAAGCTTCACTGAGGTCAAAAAGCTTCACTGAGGTCAAAAAGCTTCACTGAGGTCAAAAAGTTCCACTGAGGTCAAAAAGTTCCACTGAGGTCATAAAGCTCCACTTAGGTTAAAAAGCTTTTGAGTGAAAAGCGTTGCAACGACTTTTGGTGATTTTGCACAAAAAAATCATTTATTATGGAAAAATGGGTGAGAATTTAGCAGACCTACATGGATTGGTACACAAATCTTGGAAAAGATTTCCAGTTGAGTCATTTCAAAATACTTCAGTGGAGCCTTTAAGTATTTACTGGGTTTTCAGTATCAAATTATTTTTTTATGTTATTGCCAACAGTATAGAGAAAGGTCAGACTGCCTGATGAAAGTGTAAGCGCCCTAAACTTGCATTTTAATGCAAATGTTGGTATGATGAAATAATTATGAAATAATAAAAATAAATGACTATTTATTTATTGATCAATCAATCAATCAATAAATTGACTGATTGATGTATTTTTAGCTCACCTGTCACAAAGTGACAGGGTGAGCTTTTGTGATCGCTTTTGCCGGGCCCCCGGGGCCGGGCCCGCCGTCCGCCCGTAAACGGGTTACTTTAAATGACATTTTTCCTCAAAAACCAACCCAAATTTTCACCCAAATTTCACGGAATGTTTTTTGGTGGTCCCCTTAAAAAATTTGGTTCAAAAAATTTTAATTTTCCATGCAAAAATTTCTGGTTCCATGGCAACCAAAAGCCAAAAAACTTTTAAATATCTCCTTTTAAAAAACCCAAAAGAGCTAGAGCTTAGATATTTGGCATGAAAACATCTTTCTAGTGAGTGTCTACCAAGTTTGTTCAAATAAAAAGCCCTGGGGGTGATCAAAATGGCCCCCCCGCCCCCAGGGGGTCATTGATTTTCCCTATATGCATATAGTAAAAACTTAAAAAAATCTTTCTTTTTAAAAGAACCCATAGAGCTAGAGCTAAGATATTTAGCATGAAACATCTTCTAAGGGTGTCTACCAAGTTTGTTCAAAAAAAAAAGGCGGCCTGGGACCTGTCAAAAAATTGGGCCCCCGCCCAGGGGGTCATTGATTTTCCCTATATGCATATAGTGAAAACTTTTTTTTTAAAAAATCTTCTTTTAAAGAACCCAAAGAGCTAGAGCTGAAGATATTTAGCATGAAACATGTTCGTAATGGGTGTTCTTTACAAAGTTTGTTCAAATAAAAGCCCTGGGGCTCAAAATTGGCCCCTGCCCCGGGGTCATTGATTTTCCTTATATGTGTATAGGCAAAAACTTAAAAATCTTCTTTGAAAAAACCCATATAGCTAAGAGTTTGTAGATATTAAGCATGAAAACATCTTCTAGTGAGTGTCTGACCCCAAAGATTGTTCAAATAAAAGCCCTGGGGTCAAATTGGCCCCCCGCCCAGGGGTCAATGATTTTTCACCTATTATGATATGTAAATAACTTAGAAAACTTTCCTTTAAAGAACCCTAAAGAGCAAGAGCTAAGATATTAGCATGAAACATGTTCTAAATAGTTGTCTACCACGTGTTCGTTCAAATAAAAGTCTGGGGTCAAAATTGGCCCTGCACCGGGGGTCATTGACTGTTCCTGCTATATGTGTTATGAGCAAAAACTTAAAAAATCTTCTTTGAAAATAAACCCAAATAGATATGAGTTTAGAATATTAAGCATGAAAGCATTCTTCTAGTGAGTGTCTACCAAAGTTTTCCTTCAAATAACATGCCCTGGGGTCAAAAGTTCGGACCCCGCCCCAGAGAAAACGGGTGGGTCAGTCATTTTGATCCCTTTCCAACTATATGCATATAGAGAAAACTTAAAAAAAGCTTTCTTTGAAAGAACCCAAGAGCTTAGAGCTAACTAAATTTAGCCAATGAACACATGTTCTAATGGGGTCTACCACCACCAGTTTTGGTTCAACAAATAAAACCCTGGGTCAAAATTGCCCCGCCGCCGCCGGTCTTATTTGGATTTTCCTTATGTGTGTATCGCCAAAAAACTTAAAAAATCTTCTTTGAAAACCCAAATAGCTAGAGTTTAGATATAAGAATGAAACATCTTCTGTAAGTGTCTACAAAGTTTATTGCAAATAAAAAGCCCGGGTCACAAACGTGCCCCGCCTAGAGGTGTCATTGTTTTTAACTATAGTGTGTTTAGAAAACTTAAAAAATCTTCTTTTAAAAAAACCCAATGAGCCTAGAGGTTAGATTTTTAAGCAGAAAACATCTTTTGTGGTGTCTACCAAGTTTGTCCAAATTTTAAACGCCCTTGGCGTTTTAAAAATGGCCCTGCCCAAAAGGGGGGGGAGGTCCATTGTTTTTCAATTATATGTGTGTAAGTAAAACTTAACATCATGAAACATCTTCTAATAGGTGTCTTCCAAGTTTGCTCAAATAAAAGCCCTGGGGTTTTTTAATGGCCCCGGGGCTCCGGGGGCCTATTATTTTACAGGTGAGCGACCTCAGGCCGATTCATGGCCCTCTTTTGTTTGATTGATTGATTGATTGATTTATTTATTAATTTTGTGTTTCAGATAAGATATACAGACACTTTGTTTACAGAAATTGAGGTAAGAGAACATATTTTTAGCTCAACTATACGAAGTATATGGAGAGCTGTCCTACTCGCCCCGGCGTCGGCGTCCGCAAATCCGGGCTGTCCCAAGATTTTAATTTAAAAGGTTTTGGTCCCGTTAAAATATTTTTCACTATAAACTTTGTCAATTTTTAAGGTATCAAATTTCAAAAAACTTTCAAATATATGTCCTTTCATAAAACCCCCCACCCTTTATTTTTAAAAAGGTTAAAAAACCTTCTAGCAACCAATTTTTTTTCAAAATTTATTTCCCCTTAACTTGGGAAATTTTCCTTAAAAAAAATCCCCTTTTTTTTAATTTGTTACTTCTTTTTTCTTAAAAGGAAATCAACCTCTTTACTTCAAAAAATATGACCTTACTTTCATCCCCATCTTTTTTGTGACGGGGGTTTCAAAACCCCTTTAGAAAACCAAAAATTTTTTTCAAAATTTATCACCCCCTTGAACTTAGAATTTGAATATTATTTTGTACTCGCACACGTTTGTAACTCGATTTAAAGTTTCTAGCGTCACCTGAGTCAGCAAGTGGTACGGTCAAGGGTGAGCTTTTCGTGATCGCCGTTTTCGTCCGGCGTCGTCCGTCCGTCGGCGTCCGTCCGTCGTCCGTCCGTCGTAAACTTTTGCTTTAAATGAACATCTCCTCATAAACCACTGAGCCAATTTCATCCAAACTTCACAGGAATGTTCCTTTGGTGGTCACCTTTTAAAAAATTGTTCAAAAAATTTAATTCCATGCAGAACTCTGGTTGCCATGGCAACCCCAAAAAAAAAATCTTTTAAATATCTTCTTTTAAAACAACCCTAAGAGCTAGAGCTTAGATATTTGGCATGAAACATCTTCTAATGAGTGTCTACCAAGTTTGTTCAAATAAAAGCCCTGGGTCAAAATTGGCCCTGCCCCGGGGTCATTGATTTTCCCCTATATGCATATAGTAAAAACTTAAAAGATCTTCTTTTAAAGAACTGTAAGAGCTAGAGCTAAGATTTTTGGCATGGAACATCTTCTAGTGAGTGTCTACCAAGTTTGTTCAAATAAAAGCCCTGGGTAAAATTGGCCACGCCCCGGGGGTCATTGATTTTCCCTATATGCATATAGTAAACACTTAAAAAATCTTCCTTTAAAGAACTGTAAGAGCTAGAAGCTTAGATATTTGGCATGAAACATCTTCTAGTGAATGTCTACCAAGTTTGTTCAAATAAAAGCCCTGGGGTCAAAATTGGCCCCGCCCCAGGGGTCATTGATTTTCCCTATATGCATAAAGTAAAAAACTTAAAAAATCTTCTTTTAAAGAACCCAAAGAGCTAAGCTTAGATATTTGCATGAAACATCTTCTAGTGAATGTCTACCAAGTTTGTTCAAATAAAAGCCCTGGGGGTCAAAATTGGCCCCGCCCTGGGGGGTAATTGATTTTCCCATATGCATATTAGTTTAAACTTAAAAAATCTTCTTTTTAAAGAACCGTAAGAGCTAGAGCTTAGATATTTGCCATAAAACATTCTTCTAGTAAATGTTCTACCAAGGTTTGTTCAAATAAAACCCTGGGTTAAAATTCGCCCCGCCCCAGGGGGTCATTGATTTTCCCTCATATGCATATAGTAAAAACTTAAAAAATCTCTTTTAAAGAACTGTAAGAGCTAAAGCTTATATATTTGGCATAAAACATCTTTCTAGTGAATGTTACCAAGTTTGTTCAAATAAAACCCCATGGGTCCAAAATTGGCCCCTCCCCAGGGTCATTGATTTCTTATATGCATATAGTAAAAACTTATAAAAAGATCTTCTTTTAAAGAACCCAAAGAGCTAGAGCTAAGATATTTAGCATGAGACATGTTCTAATGGGTGTCTACCAAGTATGTTCAAAATAAAAGCCCTGGGGTCAAAACTGGCCCCGCCCCGGGGGTCATTGATTTTCCTTATATACATAGCAAAAAACTTAAAAATCCTTCTTTGAAAAAACCCAAAATAACTAGAGTTTTAGATATTAAGCATGAAACATCTTTAAGTAAATATCTACAAAGTTTGTCAAATAAAAGCCCAGGGGTCAAAAACTGGCCTCACCCGAGGGTTGTCATTGTTTTTACTCTATGTGTATAGTAAAAACTTAAAAAATCTTCTTTTAAAAACCCAATGAGCTAGAACTTAGATGTTTTGCATGAAACATCTTCTTATGGGTGTCTGTTCAAATAAACAAATAAAAGCCCTTGGGTAAAAATTGGGCCGGGGGGGGGCTATATACAGGTGAGCGACCTCAGGGCCATCATGGCCCTCTTGTTTTCTAAAGGGATCACTTTCATACTTCAAATATATTTACCTTGTCATCATCCATATCTTATGTGACAAGGTTCATTACTCTAGCACCAATATTGCAAGAATTATCTCCCCATAAACTTAGATTTTATTTACTAGAAAAATGTTATTTTTTTACTATAACTTTTTTAGTTTTAAAGGTATCTACCTCAAACTTCAAATACTTATTCCTTATAATCAATTATATTTTATGTGACAATGTTCATAACTCTTGAAGTAATTTTTACAGATTTATCTCTCTTTGAACTTAGGATTTTCTTTATGAAATATTATAACTTTGTTCATACATGCCATAACGTCCCGGATGCCCGGAATTGTCCCAGAAATCGGATGTCTGTCCCGGAGATGTCCCGGGCATCGATTTGATCCCAGAAAAAAAAATCAGGATATTTTGCAAAATGTTCATAAATTTTCTTAAATCAAATCTCGCACATTTCACCTCTCGATCGTAAAACATATTCTGACCTGGTACACATAATACACAGGAACGTTGACACTGACAAGTTTACAATAAACAGCCCCCCAATTATCGACTGTCGATTCCCCTCGGCAATAGCTTTCTTCATGCATCGGCAATTAACATTCTCTGTTGAATTCGGCAGCGTTTAATGGCCGGGTTAATTAATGGTTTACGGCCCTTAACAATTATCGTTAATCCCCGATAATCATTAATTTTTAGATCAATTGCTAACTTGCCGAAAGTCTAATTATTACAAACAATGTAAATATATCTATCAAATAAAAAATTAAAGGTGTCAAATAAATCACCTTGCAGTGTTTGTTTTTATGACTGGAATAATTGCATTAGGTGTCATGTAGTAATTATCACGACTTTAAGATATAACGGGTGAACAACATGGCTGCGCCCATTCAGCTTTTAGGGAATAATAAATGAAATACTATGAAATGATAAATATGTCGACCTAAAAGACTACTTCTAAAACTAGTAAGTTAACTGTTTATCATTAAAATTCAGGAGAAAGTCGTCCTAATATAATAAAATTATACGATTGACACACCCCCCCCCTTTTCTACAACTGCCTACACATCCATTATTGCCGCGGTGAAAAGTGTCCCGGAAAGCTGTCCAAAAATTATGGCATGTAAGACTTTGTTACTTTTTAAGGTATCTACTTCAAATATATACTTCTTATCATTACATACATGTTGTGTGACAAGGTTCATAACTCTAGCGTGACTATTTCTAGAATTATTTCCCTTGATCTTGGAATTTATTTTAACAAATGTTATTTTTTTACTATAACTTAATACATAATTATACATAATTGATTTTTCTTTCATAGTTTTGTCCTCTTTACTGCGTCCAGTATTTTATTAGTCGAGCTTGGCTGTCTCCTGTGACAGCTCTTGTTTGAGTACTGCTATATTCATACTTATTTAAACCTGTGCAACTACTTGTATTTGTTTTCAATTTGAACTACCCAGTACTGATGTTGTATTCAGAAACATGGCACGGAGCAAACTATTGATCCTGAGTTTGAAGGTAGACACCCTTATTATTAGGCCATTGTTCCACTTGGAGATTTCATGCAGTGTCATGCATTTTGGATTGGAAGTCCAACTGGTTTAAGTCACCTTCTTCAAATCACTTGCTCCACATTGGTGGATTCAAGGCTTTTTGTATGAATGGTTTTGAACAGGGGAAAAGAGTAGTTTTCATACATTTGACAGTGTGATATACATAATTTGTAGATAATGGTTTAAAAGTTCACTGTTTTTCTTGATAAATTACAGTATTTCAGATAAGGTGTATCTATTTATGTCTCCTATATTTAATTTCAGCGTGGTGTGAGCATCAAGTCTACACCGGTGACGTTGGTACTGCCGGACACGCGGAACAAATCCTACCTTGTCAATGTGTTTGACACACCAGGTAAGGCCTAAAATAAAATATTGTTTGTTTCCAATCCCACTACCTAGGTAAGGCCTAAAGTAAAATATTGTTTGTTTCTCGTTCCACTACATACCGTCAAAAGGTTTGACACACCAGGTAAGGCCTAAATAAAATAAAGCTTGTTGTCTGTCCCAGTACATACCCACAAAAGGTTTGACACACCAGGTGAGGCCTAAAATAAAATATTATTTGTTTCCCATCCCGCTAGTTACCCACATAAATCACAGCTATGCAAAAAATTTCATTCCCTAGGGAAAACATTTTTTTTTCTTTACTAGACATAGAATGAAAATCTTCATAATATTACCTGTCTTATGTTTTTGAATTGTAGGTACACAAAATGGGATAATGAAGAATAAAACTTTGGAAATACGATTTTAAACTTTAAACAGATCTTAGACTAACTCCAAAGCAAATGTTCAGTCTTTCTTTTTACAAAGACCTAAATCTTACAGAATTTTGTTTTCAAAACGCTTCAGAATCCAATATGGCGTGGGCATTCAAAATGACTGCCAATTCTATGCAAAACTGATATATATGTTATTATGATAAACTTTGTAGCAAAGATTTAGCCATAAATGTCAGAAAATTTAGATTGGATATTAATAACAATTGAATTTTTTTTTAGAAAAATGACTTTAAAGTATGTCACTTTGTTGAGGATCATTATACCCCCACAAACGAAGTTTATTATACCCCCACAAACGAAGTTTAGGGGGGGTATATAGGAGTCAGCTTGTCGGTCGGTCGGTCGGTCGGTCGGTTGGTCGGTCGGTCCGTCGGTCCGTCGGTCGGTCCACATTATGGTTTCCGGACGATAACTAGAGTTTGGAATGAGGTATTGTAATCAAACTTGGTATATAGCAACTTTATGTGGAAACTCCGGTTGGTATTGCATTTGGACCCCCTGGGGTCAAGGTCAAGGTCACCGTTACTAAAAATAGAAAAATGGTTTCCGGACAATAACTAGAGTTAGGAATGAGATACTGTAATCTAATTTGGTGTAAAGGAAGCTTATATGAAGACCTGGGTTGGTATTGCATTTGGACTCCCTAGGGTCAAGGTTACCGTTACAGTGTTACTAAAAATAGAAAAATGGTTTCCGGACAATAACTAGAGTTAGGAATGAGATATTGTTATCAAACTTGGTGTATAGCATGCTTATATGAAGACTTTGGTTGGTTTTGCATTTGGGCCCCCTGGGGTCAAGGTCAAGGTCACCGTTACGAAAAATAGAAAAATGGTTTTCGGACAATAACTTGACTTAGGAATGAGATATTGTAATCTTATTTGGTGTATAGGAAGCTTATATGAAGACCTGGGTTGGTATTGCATTTGGACCCCCTAGGGTCAAGGTCACGGTTACAGTGTTACTAAAAATAGAAAAATGGTTTCCGGACAATAACTAGAGTTAGGAATGAGATATTGTAATCAAACTTGGTGTATAGCAAGCTTATTTCGAGACCACAGTTGTGATTACAATTAATTGAAATATTTCTTTGTACACAGTTGATAGTTTGTGTTCAAATTTTTCTTCAGACTACTTTTTTTCAAAAAGTCAAAGTTGCTGGTGGGGGTATTAATCACCTTCAGTGATAGGTCTAGTTTTTAGCTCACCTGAGCATGCTCAGGGTGAGCTTTTAGGATCGATGATTGTCCATCGTCCGTCCGTCCGTCGTCCGTTCACATTTAGTTGTTAACACTCTAGCGGTCACATTTTTGCCTCAATCATCATCAAACTTGGTCAGGATGCTTATCTAGTTGATAGCTCGGATGAGTTCGAACATGGGTCATCTCGGATGAGAAACTAGGTCACAAGAGCTAAAAATAGAAAAACCTTGTTAACACTCTAGAGGTCACATTTTTGCCTCAATCATCATCAAACTTGGTCAGGATGTTTGTCTAGGTGATAGCTCGGATGAGTTCTAACATGGGTCATCTCGGATGAAAAAGTAGGTCACCGGAGCTAAAAATAGAAAAACCTTGTTAACACTCTAGCGGTCACATTTTTGCATCAATCATCATCAAACTTGGTCAGGATGTTTGTCTAGGTGATAGCTCGAATGAGTTCGAACATGGGTCATCTCGGATGAAAAAGTAGGTCACCGGAGCTAAAAATAGAAAATTCTTGTTAACACTCTAGCGGTCACATTTTTGCATCAATCATCATCAAACTTGGTCAGGATGCTTATCTAGTTGATAGCTGAGATGAGTTCGAACATGGGTCATCTCAGATGAAAAAGTAGGTCACCGGAGCTAAAAATAGAAAAACCTTGTTAACACTCTAGCAGTCACATTTTTGCATCAGTCATCATCAAACTTGGTCAAGATGCTTGTCTAAGTGAAAGCTCCGATGAGTTCGAACATGAATCATCTCGGATGAGAAACTAGGTCACCAGAGCTAAAAATAGAAAAACCATGTTAACACTCTAGAGGTCACAATTTTGCCTCAATCATCATCAAACTTGGTCAGGATGCTTATCTAGTTGATAGCTCGGATGAGTTCTAACATGGGTCATCTCGGATGAGAAACTAGGTCACCGGAGCTAAAATAGAAAAACCTTGTTAACACCCTAGCGGTCACATTTTTGCATCAATCATCATCAAACTTGGTCAGGATGTTTGTCTAGGTGATAGCTCGGATGAGTTCGAACATGGGTCATCTCGGATGAAAAACTAGGTCACAGGAGCTAAAAATAGAAAAACCTTGTTAACACTCTAGTGGTCACAATTTTGACTCAGTTGTCATCAAACTTGGTCAGGAAACTTGTCTTTTAGGTCATTGCTGGGAATAAATCGAACATGGGTCATCTCGGATGAAAAACTAGGTCACAGGAGCTAAAAATAGAAAAATCTTGTTAACCCTCTTAACTGTTGTGATCCAAATATTCTGTTCATTCTAACATTCTAGTGGTCACATTTTCAACTCAATTATCATCAAACTTGGTCAGGATGCTTGTCTAGGTAATTGCTTGGAGGAGTTCGAAATCACATGTGAAACTAGGTCATCGGAGCTAAAAATAGAAAAATCTTGTTAACACTGTAGTTGCTACTGTTTTGATCCAAGTATCCTGGAAATTAGTCTGAAAGTTTGTTTTGATGATTTCTAGGTCAAGTTTGAATATGTGTCATTTGGAAAAAAACTAGGTCGCACTGCTCAAATATGGATAATCCTTGTTAACACTGTAGTGGTCACATTTTTGACTCACCTGTCATGAGACTTGGTCAGAATGTTTGTCTAGGTAATTGTTTGGATGAGTTTGATAAGTCAGGTGAGCGATCTAGGGCCATCATGGCCCTCTTGTTATGGTATAACATGTATGCAAATGAGCTAATTACTCATACTTTTGTCTATTTACAGGTCATGTCAATTTCTCAGATGAAGTAACTGCGGCCTTACGGATAAGTGACGGCGCTGTCATATTTGTTGACGCCGCTGATGGGGTAATTAATCTGTCATTTTACTGTAGTAATATCTGTAGACAAGCATTCTAGATGATTTCTTTAAAACTTTACAAATTTGTAGATTGGATTTGTTTTAATTTGCTAAATTTCGGTAATGTATTATAATATTAGAGTAATGAACTTGGCCAGGTTTGAATTTGGAATAGTCCATTCAAAGTTTCAGGGATTTCAATATCAAAATCAAAAATTGAGCTACAAACTTCATAAGAGCCTGGTCAGACTGCATGTAAACGCTCTTACCTGAGACAATATAAGGATAACAAGTCTCTCAGGGTAAAATGGCATATTAGCAACTAGAGAAGAGCTGAAATAACACCCAAGGCAGAGCTAAGGGGTGCTGATATGCATTTTTCCCCTGAGAGATGTGTTATTTCCCTGAGATATGTGTTTTTTTTTTCTTTTCTTATACCCAAACCAACATTAAATTTAATGTAATTTTTTACCACAATGCAATTATTACTCTGAGAGCCATTCATTATTGATTTTATCACACAGAGTAGAACAGCCAATAGAGAGAACTAGAACATAAAATTTCCTTAGGTCTATGTAGATTACTCGCCCCTAGGGAATATCGCAAAAAAATTATTGACCGGGTGATATTCATTTCAAGGATGAGAGATCAAAATTACCCAATTTGACGTCAAATTATGCTATACATGTATAGTAAAAAGTTAACGTGAGGTATATTGATATGAAATTTTACCTATTACACAATGTGACGTCACATAAGGCTATATAGTAAAATAGTAAAAAGTTTACGCGAGGTAAAATGATAAGAAATTTGACCTATGTTTATACAGGTGATGTTGAACACGGAGAGGTTTATCAAACATGCTATACAAGAGAAGTTACCAGTCTGTGTATGTATTAACAAGATTGACAGACTGATACTAGAACTGAAACTACCTCCCACAGATGCCTACTTCAAACTGAGAAATATTATGGACGATATAAATGGAATTATCAGGTAGAGTGATTGTAATGATACTTCATATTCTTTTAAAAGGACTCCACTGAGGTCCAAAAGACTTTCTATTCTTACAAAGGAACTCCACTACTGAGGTCCAAAGACTTCATATTCTTACAAAGGAACTCCACTAAGGTCCAACAGACTTCATATTCTTTTAAAGGAACTCCACTAAGGTCCAAAAGACTTCATATTCTTTTAAAAGGACTCCACTGAGGTCCAAAAGACTTCATATCTTTTAAAGAAATGCTACTGAGGTCCAAAAGACTTCATATTCTTTTAAAGAAACGCTACTGAGGCACAAAAGACTTCATATCCTTTTAAAGGGACTCCACTGAGGTCCAAAAGACTTCATATTCTTTTAAAGGGACTCCACTGAGGTCCAAAAGACTTCATATTCTTTTAAAGGGACTCCACTGAGGTCCAAAAGACTTCATATTCTTTTAAAGGGACTCCACTGAGGTCCAAAAGACTTCATATTCTTTTAAAGGGACTCCACTGAGGTCCAAAAGACTTCATATTCTTTTAAAGGGACTTCACTGAGGTCCAAAAGACTTCATATTCTTTTAAAGGGACTCCACTGAGGTCCAAAAGACTTCATATTCTTTTAAAGGGACTCCACTGAGGTCCAAAAGACTTCATAATCTTTTAAAGGGACTCCACTGAGGTCAAAAAGACTTCATATTCTTTTAAAGGGACTCCACTGAGGTCCAAAAGACTTCATATTCTTTTAAAGGGACTCCACTGAGGTCCAAAAGACTTCATAATCTTTTAAAGGAATGCTACTGAGGCACAAAAGACTTCATATTCTTTTAAAGGAACGCTACTGAGGCACAAAAAACTTCATATTATTTTAAAGGGACTCCACTGAGGTCCAAAAGACTTCATATTCTTTTAAAGGGACTCCACTGAGGTCCAAAAGACTTCATATTCTTTTAAAGAGACTCCACTGAGGTCCAAAAGACTTCATATTCTTTTAAAGGGACTCCACTGAGGTCCAAAAGACTTCATATTCTTTTAAAGGGACTCCACTGAGGTCCAAAAGACTTCATAATCTTTTAAAGGGACTCCACTGAGGTCCAAAAGACTTCATATTCTTTTAAAGGGACTCCACTGAGGTCCAAAAGACTTCATAATCTTTTAAAGGATCGCTACTGAGGCACAAAAGACTTCATATTCTTTTAAAGGGACTTCACTGAGGTCCAAAAGACTTCATAATCTTTTAAAGGAACGCTACTGAGGCACAAAAGACTTCATATTCTTTTAAAGGGACTCCACTGAGGTCCAAAAGACTTCATATTCTTTTAAAGGGACTCCACTGAGGTCCAAAAGACTTCATAATCTTTTAAAGGAACTCCACTGAGGTCCATTAGACTTCATATTCTTTTAAAAGGACTTCACTGAGGTCCAAAAGACTTCATAATCTTTTAAAGGAACGCTACTGAGGCACAAAAGACTTCATATCCTTTTAAAGAGACTCCACTGAGGTCCAAAAGACTTCATATTCTTTTAAAGGAACGCTACTGAGGCACAAAATACTTCATATTCTTTTAAAGGGACTCCACTGAGGTCCAAAAGACTTCATAATCTTTTAAAGGAACGCTACTGAGGCACAAAAGACTTCATATCCTTTTAAAGGGACTCCACTGAGGTCCAAAAGACTTCATATTCTTTTAAAGGAACGCTACTGAGGCACAAAAGACTTCATATCCTTTTAAAAAGACTCCACTGAGGTCCAAAAGACTTCATATTCTTTTAAAGGGACTCCACTGAGGTCCAAAAGACTTCATATTCTTTTAAAGGGACTCCACTGAGGTCCAAAAGACTTCATAATCTTTTAAAGGAACTCCACTGAGGTCCAAAAGACTTCATATTCTTTTAAAGGGACTTCACTGAGGTCCAAAAGACTTCATATTCTTTTAAAGGAACGTTACTGAGGCACAAAAGACTTCATATCCTTTTAAAGAGACTCCACTGAGGTCCAAAAGACTTCATATTCTTTTAAAGGAACGCTACTGAGGCACAAAATACTTCATATCCTTTTAAAGGGACTCCACTGAGGTCCAAAAGACTTCATATTCTTTTAAAGGAAAGCTACTGAGGCACAAAAGACTTCATATTCTTTTAAAGGGACTCCACTGAGGTCCAAAAGACTTCATATTCTTTTAAAGGAACGCTACTGAGGCACAAAAGACTTCATATTCTTTTAAAGGGACTCCACTGAGGTCCAAAAGACTTCATAATCTTTTAAAGGGACTCCACTGAGGTCCAGCCTCATATTCTTTTAAAGGGTCCTCCACTAAGGTCCAAAAGCCAAAAGCATTGAAATCACTTTATTATATAGATGAGCTTGGGCACTTAAAACAGAAAGATATGTAAAAGATAGGTCAGAAATAAACTCAAAGATAAATTGAAATCATATTTTTGTGTATTTATTTGTTAGCCCAATTTGATAGAAATGCGTTCCAACTTATATTTTGATTCTTTATCAAGAATCTGTTCATTCTGTTGACATAAATGTCTTAAAACCAAATATTGAAAATTAATATTTGTCTTAAGTGGCAGTGTGAATTAATGATCAGCCCAATAGAATGCTTATGTAACAACATAAAGACATCCAAACCATTGAAATAAAACTGTTGATTTAGCAATTGTTTGAACAAATAAGCATACTGTCCATAATTTATTAAAATTCTAACGATCGTTTTTTTTCCAGTTTATATACAGAAGAGGAAGGTGGCCAGCAGGTGTCGCCACTGATCGGTAACGTCTGCTTCGCCAGCTCGTACTACAGACTGTGCTTCACACTCGGATCTTTTGCCAAGATTTACTCTGACACTTATGGCGGAATAAATGAAAAAGAATTTGCAAGACGTCTTTGGGGTGATATTTATTTCAACAGTAAAACGTAAGTTTACCGTTGGTAAATGTTATGCGTATATGTATTTTTTTCGGTGTGTGTTATTCATTGATAGGTATTTCTTCGAAATTGTGATCTTTTTTTTTTGACAAGGTCACATTTTTCAATCAAAAAAGTTTTAGACAATGGATGGGTGATAAGAAGAAGAAAGTCTACAGTATTGGCCTACCTAAGATTCTAGGTGAAATTTCATGGAATTTGTTGTCAGTTTTATTTTAGCATATTAGCAAATTTCAAACCCACAATAAGCATGCAAAAAACTTTTAAATTTCTGGATAATTAGAAGTGTTTTTGTAGTGTACATGTTTGAATCAAATTCAATTTTAATCATCTATGTTGCTTTTTTAGCTCGACTTTTCTATGAAAAGGGGAGCTATCCTACTCGCCCCGGCGTCGGCGTTGGCGTCACACCTTGGTTAAGTTTTTCGTACCACCCCACTTTATTTCAGAAGTATTACAAGTATGGCTTTGAAACTTACCATACTTGTTCACCATCATAACCTCCATCTACAGACAAGAGTACATAACTCTGTCAAGGTTTTTGACAGAATTATGGCCCTTTTTTGACTTAGAAAGTGTATTGAGCTTGGTTAAGTTTTTTGTACCACCTCACTTTATTTCAAAACCATTGGAGGTATTGCTTTGAAACTGACCATACTTGTTTACCATCACGACCTTCATCAACAGACAAGAGGACATAACTCTGTCAAGGTTTTTGACAGAATTATGCCCCTTTTTGACTTAGAAAATACATTGAATATGGGTAAAATCCACTTATTGCCTTAACCCTTTGAGATATTGCTTTGAAACTTTTAATGCTATTTCACATCATTACCCCCATCTGTACGCAAGAGAAGGTAACTCTGTCAAGGATTTGCTCATGGCCATTGTTCACTTTAAAAATACAGAGATTCTTGTATTGCCTTTTACTGCAAAAACTTTTTTTATTGGCAAGCAATAAAAAAGTCGAGCGCGCTGTCTTACGGACAGCTCTTGTTTACTTTGGATTCTTAAAGGGAAAGACAAGGTTAGAATAAAAACTTGATTTCAGAAAAAGAATACTATAAATAATAAGTCTGCAAATTTTCTGCCGCCAAATAATAACATTAAACGAATGAAAACAAAATTTAAATCGCTAAATCACCGATTTCTACAAATCAGTAAGCGCGGCCATGTTTGTGTATTGACCGTATAATAACAGGTGCGCGTGATGTCATTTCCCCACATCTTTAGATTCATGATAAATCTAGTTGAATCGTAAGGAAATATTAATTAATGACCAGACAATTTAATTTTCACAGGAGGTGTAGAGGAGATTTTTTATGGTTCAAAATACGTAACAATATCAAAAAATAAATAAATAAAAAATAAAGAAACGTACGGCTAGCCAAAAGTTCTAGCCGTACGTGAGACACGAACGACTAGCCAGGACGCACTGTACGTATTGTCTAGCCGTACGGCACTTTTCAAAATTATATGGAAGTCAAACGTTATAAGATTGTTGATTTTTGAATTATTAAATCATTTTTGTTAATTTTAAGCACATGGATCGAATAAAAAATGATCGGAGTGGAATAAATAAATAAAAAGAACATTGAATGAAAAAAAAAAAAAAAAAAAAAAAAAAACGGTGAAATGCAAAAATAATTATATAATTTTCAAAACAGTAGATAAATATCGAACATAAAAGCACAGTCAATCAATTAATTAGCCTTGATTAAAACCTATCCAGGGACTGACAATAGAATTTTAGAATGCCTTTCACGGAACATGCAAACTTTCCTTGATGGACAAATTTCTTTACAGTACCGTCGGTAATTGTCGCAATTATCAAGAGCCTATAACAACAATCATTTTCAGTGTTTGTTGTTTTGTTTAGGAAATAGATATCAATTCTGAGTGCATTGTTGTAGAATAATGCACGGTTTGAGTTCAAATGCGTAGTAATATAATCACGAAGGCCGATAGGCCTGAGTGATTAATTACATAGCATTTGAACGAAAAACGTGCATTATTATACAATAATGCACGAAGAATTGATATCTATTTCCATTCTAATACCTCAAGAAAAAATATAATTTTTATTATAACGTTGGACTTTATGTTTGGTGGTTGAATTTGTTTTCGCCTCAGAGTTTCCAATAGAAACGTTCTTTAGAGGCCGTTCCAGTGGGTTGAAAAAAAAAACTGTTAAATCTACCGTTTGTAGAAACATTTTGAAAATAACGAATTTTGAAAACGTTGATACAACTTTGTTTGTTTATTTATTTCAGTTTATAATTTTCCAAGCGAAATACAAATTATTAAAAGTGAAATAAATGTAAAACTAAACTCGTTTGCGACATTAAATAGCGAACTTGATTTGATTGTTTTGCACGTGCTGTTTGGCGCTACATTGTGACGTCACGTAAACAACACTTTAAACGTCTGTACAGCGTTAACGACTGAATTAAAGATATTGGTGTTCGGATTAATTTTCTTAGTTAGACCATTTTCTTTCATTCTAGATAGTTTTCACAACAAAATTCGAAAAAAATTGTTTTAATTTATCAGATTTTTTAAACAAAATGGCGCCTTCAATGTGAAAATACACAGGGAGATAATAAGAACGGCGAGTGCATTGTTGTAGAATAATGCACGCTTCCGGCCTTCTTTGTCTATATAGAAAAAATTCCGATAGTGTTAGAATTTGTTTTTTCATATAAAAGGTGTTGAAAATTAAACTTAATGAAACAAAAAAGGATTATTATCAAAATTTTGTAAACTATTTCAATTGGTGTAAATGCAAGCAAAGGCTATTTTTTTTCTCGACATCTTGCGATGACAAAGATCGATATATATAGCGATCAAGGCGATTAATCTCTAAAAAGTTAACATCCAAAGACAATTAATGCTGTTTCTTGGTTAAAACCCTCGCTTAAAGTCATAAAATAACATATGCATTTTCGACTTCCATAAAATTTTGAAAAGTGCCGTACGGCTAGCCAATACAGCGTGTCCTTGCTAGTCGTACGTGACTCACGTACGGCTTAAACTTTTGGCTAGCCGTACGGGCCCGTACGCTAGCCACTTCCATTATAAAAACCCTACTAAAACGTGTTCTTAATAGTACATATAATTAAATTTTTGCAGTTTGATTCTGACTTTCAAATTTAAAGGTGTGAACATATGTTATAATTGATGTACACATTTCAAAAATATAAGCAACTCTTTTGAAAAGTAAATTGTTAACATGTCTTTCAACGTATGATGCTGCGCATCGTAATCGTAGCCTAATATTCACTGCAGGCAAATTATTTTTATTGGCTGCTCAAAAGTCTAATTTGCATAATTTATTCACACAATTGCTGGTTCTTACTATTTATGTCTATTACTGCGCATTGTCCATTTTAATTGTTCCTAATTTGCACCAAATGCTCCTGTCACACTGTGTACTGACGATTTTTATTGCTCCTTGTATGCCTCTGTGCCGACAGACCTTTTGATCATGCACAATGTTGCCCTGATTGGTTAATCACCCTTGTCAAATATTCTAATGACGAAATAGACATCTATTTTTTTACGCTTCATCAGTGAACTGAATGACCTTAGGGGGAATTAGGTTCCACACCTGTCAAATTATACTGTGGTAAATTACAGCACGTCATAAAATAGCAACACATTTTTTTCAGTTACCAATAATCATTTTAAATATTAAGTAGATTTATGATTTTTTGTTTTATTGGATTAAATTTACGGTAGTAGAAATGCGTATCTGTCGGGGAAAGGAATTTGGTATGTAGATATATATTGGATTTAGTTGATATTTTACCTGGAAAAAAGATACATGACCGGCGATGTACCCTATTTGGACAGCTTGTCTAGCGAAAATAAAGTACAAAATAAAAGGATATATCGTCAATTTGAAGAAGTTTCTCGTAGTACCCAAATTAAATTTATGGTTTATCTTTGAAAATTAACTTATTAAGCAGTCATTGCTTAAATCATGTGGTGGGATCATCAGCAAGCTTGAATATCGGAGAAATAATAATTAATGTCGCGGCGTCTTCAATTAATTAATTAAAGCAATTCAGTTCCATATGATGTTTTCATAAATAATATATAATGTACGCAATAAAATTAATAAGTTCTTCATCAAGATATATTTCTGTACCAGCGTGTACACCTATACCGGAAGTGGGTATTACACGTCACAATCTCGGTCTCGTCTGTCTCGCGAGAATGACAGAACGCCAAAATGGCGGCGCCCATGAACTTATTTCTCAAGTAAAAAATAGTGTCTTAAAACACGAATTTCTCTCTTATAGGGTTGATGTCAATAGGAAAACTGTCATGGTTCCTTTTTTTAAATGATGAATATTTATATTAGACAGACATCAATCCATCCATTCCTATTCCTTTAATTGAATGATTTATTTAATGCCATGTTAACATTTCAGACGTAAATTTACAAAGAAGCCCCCTAACAGTTCTGCCCAGAGAAGTTTTGTAGAGTTTATACTTGAACCCCTGTACAAGCTATTTGCACAGGTATGTTTTATAATTAAGACCTCTTTATTTTAATCTTCCATTGTTTGCCTTCAGAAGATTTGATTGGAAAAATTTTCTGGAAAGGGGAACATGGTTACCACTGTGTCTGTTTTTCATTATTTTTCATTTATCAACATTGATCTTGTCATGATATTTAAAGAACGCGGGAATCAGATATTCCTGTCTGAAATTACAGTAGCCGTTTAAGTTTTTCTTGCATATAACATTTTAATTATATTTCGAACAGAAATTACAAAAATTAATATTTTCGTTTAGCACTTTTCTTATTGTAGCATATAAATTTACAACTTCATTCATAATGGCAAAATGACATCATCATAATAATGAAATTCATTCAAAAAAGGTGCGCGGCAATGACGTCATATAAAGCATGCGACTTGTCTTACATGGGGGGTGTAAGACAAGAGTTTTCTAACACCGGTATAAACAGTACATAATCCTGTCTGAAAGGCAAAAAATGTATAAATGTTCCCAATCATAGGGACATTTTTGCATGTTTTAGGCTCTTTAATTCTTAATTTACTATCTAGTTTCACCATATTTTGTGTTACATAGTAACACCATATTTCTATCACAACTGTTTTGTCTTGTAACAGATTGTCGGAGACGTGGACGAGAGTTTACCTCGGGTTTGTGATGAGCTAGGTATATCACTGACCAGCGAGGAGAAGAAACTCAACATCCGACCTCTCATGAGAATTGTTTGCCGTAGATTCTTTGGAGACTTTACAGGTAAAATTCAGTTTTAAATCCTTATCATTGTAGGGGTTGTAATATTTGTTACCCTTAAAGGAACTCCACTTGTAGGGGTTGTAATATTTATTATACCCCCACAAACGAAGTTTAGGGGATGTATATAGGAGTCAGCTTGTCGGTCGGTCGGTCCGTCCACATCATGGTTTCCAGACGATAACTAAAGTTTGGAGTGAGGTATTGTAATCAAACTTGGTATATAGCAACCTTATGTGGAAACCCCGACTGGTATTGCATTTGGACCCCCTGGGGCCAAGGTCAAGGTCACCGTTACTAAAAATAGAAAAATGGTTTCCGGACAATAACTAGAGTTAGGAATGAGATATTGTAATCAAACTTGGTGTATAGCAAGCTTATATGAAGACCCCAGTTGGTATTGCATTTGGACCCCCTGGGGCCAAGGTCAAGGTCACCGTTACTAAAAATAGAAAAATGGTTTCCGGACAATAACTAAAGTTAGGAATGAGATATTGTAATCAAACTTGGTGTATAGCAAGCTTATATGAAGACCCCAGTTGGTATTGCATTTGGACCCCCTGGGGTCAAGGTCACCGTTACTAAAAATAGAAAAATGGTTTCCGGACAATAACTAAAGTTAGGAATGAGATATTGTAATCAAACTTGGTGTATAGCAAGCTTATATGAAGACCCCGGTTGGTATTGCATCTGGACCCCCTGGGGCCAAGGTCAAGGTCACTGTTACTAAAAATAGAAAAATGGTTTCCAGACAATAACTAAAGTTAGGAATGAGATATTGTAATCAACTTGGTATAAAGCAAGCTTATATGAAGACATAGGTTGGTATTGCATGTGGATCCCCTGGGGCCAAGGTCAAGGTCACCATTGCTAAAAATAGAAAAATGGTTTCCGGACAATAACTAAAGTTAGGAATGAGATATTGTAATCAAACTTGGTATATAGCAAGCTTACATGAAGACCACGCTTGGTATTGCATTTGGACTCCCTGGGTTCAAGGTCACAGTTACTAAAAAAAGAAAAATGGTTTCCAGACAATTACTAAAGTTAGGAATGAGATATTGTAATCAAACTTGGTGTTTAGCAAGCTTACATGAAGACCATGCTTGGTATTGCATTTGGACTTCCTGGGTTCAAGGTCACCGTTACTAAATATAGAAAAATGGTTTCCAGACAATTACTAGGGTTAGGAATGAGATATTGTTATCAAACTTGGTGTATAGCAAGCTTATATCAAGATCCTAGCTGGGATTGCAATAAATTGAAATACTTCTTTGTACACAGTGCTGATTGTACTTTATTTACTGTAGGTTTATTTCAAATTTTTTCTTCAGACAACTTATTTTTCAAAAGTCAGAGTTGCTGGTGGGGGTATTAATCACCTTCAGTGATAGGTCTAGTTACCCTTAAAGGAACTCCACTGAGGTCTTCAAAAAAAAAAAAAAAATCTTACAAAAAATGATGTGAAGCCCTTAATTGGAAAACTTTACAAAGGAATAACAAAAACTATAATATAATGAAATTGAAAATAGATTTTATGCGATTTTTTATGCAATTTTTGGTCAGGTTTAAGTAAAAAGTGTTGCAATGCTTTTCAATTTTGGGTCATTTTGCACAATAAAATTGATCCACCTTGAAAAACTGGGTGTGGGAATGACCTAAAATTTGCTCACAAGTTATTAGTCTACCCCTTTATGAATTGGTACACAAATCTGGGAAATTATTTTTAGTAATGTCCAGTCAAAAAACCTCAGTTGAGTCCCTTTAAATGTTGGCATTTTTACATCTTAGCAATTAACTTGTCATGTTTTCATATATGTCCTTTATGTAGAGCGTTAGTAGCCCAGTGGTTTAGGTCATTGACTTCAAACTTCTTACCCCTGGAATCTCAACAGGGACTTTGGATTCTTTCGTGTAAGGAAGCTATACAGCAAGCTTATGGATCGTTGGTGGTTCTACTCTTGTGCCAGTTTGTGTCTGAAATAATGCACGTAAGGTCACCCAAGGTCTTCCTCCACCAGTAAAGCTGGAAAGTTGCAAAATGGCCTTTACTGTGTAGGTGCGTTGCAAAAGCACAACCCCCCAAAAAATCTTTTAAGTACGTACAGTTGACTGGATATAATTTGTTTCTTTTAAAATAACTGTTGTATATATACTAAAATTCTGTATTTAGGTTTTGTGGATATGTGTGTGGATCACATAAAGTCACCGCTAGACAATGCAAGACGTAAGATTGAGCATATATACACGGGGCCGATGGAATCTGACCTTGCTGATATGATGGTCCAATGTGATGCTGACGTATGTCGTTTTGTTTGTAGTGATTACATGTACTTAAAATAATTTGAGCCACGCCATGACAAAACCAACATAATTGGTTTGCAACCAGCATGGATCCAGACCAGCTTGCGCATCCCTGCAGTCTGATCAGGATCCATGCTGTTTGCTATCAGTTTCTCTACTTTTAATAGGGTTTGTAAGCGAACAGCATGGATCCTGATCAGACTGCTCGGATGCGCAAACTGGTCTGGATCCATGCTTTTCGCAAACGCATTATGTTTGTTTTGTCATGGAGCGGCTCAAATTTGTTATCAATATTTTTGTTTGGCATGTATTGATTACTTAAATAATATATAAGATTTTGAGTTTTTTTTATGTTTAGATAAAATCAGTCTAGAGAACAGGCTATACAGACATTTATTGCTGCTTTTAATTCTTATAGTCCAGTATGGCACCATGATTAAAGCAGCCTTCAGCTTTTCTAAAGGTTAAATATGTTATTTTTACATAAATTGTTTTATATAATTGTCAAATCAAAAGGATTAAGGTGGAAAATGAAATCTGCCGACGATAAAATACATAAACAATCAGGAAACCTCTTGATACCTCTAGTCTACCAGCCCGCTTTCTTTACTATTAATATACCAGTCTGTTCTCTATTTTTAAATCAGTAAAGCAGACAATAGTTTCCTGATCTTCTATTTTTAGAAATGAACGTCACTGAGGCGTTATAGATAGCTCTTTGGATGCTGTTTTGAAGAAGGTTTAACAGTGATATGATGCTCTTTTCAAAGATGAAATTACTGAAAATACTTAGTTTTAAAACATCATAGAAGTGTTTTTTTCAACAGAAAATAAAAGCTGAAGGCAGCTTTAAGTTTTTAGTACTGCCCCACTTTTTCAGGCATCCCAATTAGTTATCTTGCTTTGAAACTTTAGACACTATTCCATTACTAAGTACTTAGAATGGTTGAGCATATTGTTGTACATAACCTCTTGTAATGTTTCTGTTGAGTTTTATTTTTTGTTATAGTCATTACTACCCCAAAAAACCCCCTAAGATTTTGTCTGGCTATCATTCATGACATTTGGATTATTTGCTTTACTATACCTCCACAGGGTCCACTTATGGTGCACACCACCAAGTTATACCCCACCCAAGATGCCACATGCTTTCATGTATTTGGACGTGTGGTGAGCGGAACGTTGTATGCAAACCAGGAAGTGAGAATTCTGGGAGAAAATTACACGTTACAGGATGAAGAGGATTCGAGGTTTGGTCAGATAGGACGACTGTGGATCTCAGAAGCTAGGTTTGTACTTCTTTATGTATAGTTCACTAAGTTCATTCCGCCAGGGACTTACGATTCTGTCATGTAAGGAAACTACCCAGCTAGCTTATATGTCAGTGGTTCTACTCAGGTGCCTGTTCACGCCTGTAGATAGGACAACTTTGGATACCAGAAGCTAGGTTTGAATTGTTTTAGTTTATTTATAGTTTACTTGGTTTTAAACTAGGTTTCATTGCCTTTGGGACAATGATTTTTACGTTTGAGGAGGCTTATCCAGCTTTTTCCTATTTCTGTAACATCATGTGATTTACTTAATGTAAAATGTTATTGACAAGTTGACAAACTCCGTATTTAATTGTGTAATAATGTAAGGATAATACCATTTAAAACACAATATGTCTTACTTTGAGGGGATGGGTGTAAGACAAGTTTTTCTAAAACATGGGTGTAAATGGTAGATTATCCTGTCTGATATGCAAGAATAAAATGATAAAACAATGTTTTGTATATTGACAGATATAAGATCGAGGTGAACAGGGTACCAGCTGGGAACTGGATCCTGATAGAGGGAATAGATCAACCTATTGTAAAAACTGCCACAATTACAGACACGTCGGCTCCGGAGGAGGTAATAATGTCATATATTATCACACCATCCCTTAACTTGTGGAACTTGATAACTTTATTGTGTTCCAGAAAAAGAATATGAAATTTGTTTTATCAAATAAACCAAATGGAGGAGTGTAATAAAGCCATTTAATAAAGAAGATATTGCACTTTGTATATAACTCAAATGTTGTCACATCAAAGTATTATAACCCTATATCCAAACATAGTGTTAAAGCGCACTCATGTTAGCGTTAAACTTTAGACATGTTGATGTAAAATGCTTCTTTTTAACTGTAAAATGTTCTTGTTTTTAATATGTTTGATAAATAAAATATTATATTGGTGAAGATTCAGTACTAAATTTATTGAACTTGTTGAATGAAGTAATATTATGCTCACCAGAGGCTTGCTTAAAATTATTTTATTCAACAAGTTCAATAAATTCAGTAATGAACCTGCACAAATAGAATATTATATTTATAACATACCCAATATATAATGTGAATCACTTTTCATCAATGCACTTATATTGTAACGCTTATATTTAGCGCGTCTTTACACTTTGTTTATATAATGCAAATGACGTCCCATCATGGCCATGCAATACCATTTTTACGGAGTCGCAAAAGGTGCACTGGTGTGATATAGCTGTTAATTTGATAACTTAACAGAAGAAAGAAAATTTAGATTTAGAGCATAATTCTTGAAAAATTCAGCATTTTCAGGGTTTTTTTTACAAATGGAAAGAGGACATCAATTTTAATCTACTTGGTGACACTGTATTCAGTATTACCAATACACATTCAGAGTATTTTTTCTACGACATTTCTTGAGTTGTAATATGTATATTTTTTTGTGACATGTACATTCATTCAATTTCAGGTACATATATTTAGACCACTTAAATTCAACACGAGTTCTGTGATTAAGATATCCGTGGAGCCGGTGAATCCATCAGAGTTACCTAAAATGTTAGACGGATTGAGAAAAGTCAACAAGAGTTATCCCCTTGTTACGACAAAGGTTATATGTTTAAACATGTTTACATTCTTATACACTTTATATGATAACTACCACTAGCAGGTAGTAAATTCTTTAACAGAGTCCCTTGCTCGGACCTTGTGGAAAGGGGTTTATTTTTGTGATGGAAAAAGTGTTTATGATAAATTCAAGAGCAAGTTTTAAACTCTCCAGGATGCAAACTAATCATGGTACAATAAAGATTTTAGTGTCACATTACAAAACATTAAATACATTAAATATACATTAGCTATGTATGACTGAAATACTGTCACATATTATTCTTGCATCAGATTGGTTTTTCTGTTAGTTTTACCCATGTTTGAAATTTCATCTGGCATGGAGATGCCAGATGAGTTGTGTGCTATACAGTTTGCATCATTTTAGCCCATTTTGTGAGTGAACTGCATGTATGTAAGATTGAATCTACGTGCCTAGAATGACGTCATTTCGACATTATGAATGAATTTATAAATTCATACGCTATTGTAAAAAATAGCTACGGATGAAATGACATTTATTTCCATGGAAAATTGTTTTATTAAGAAATTAAAATATGATAGAATATGGTAGAATATGCAAGAAAAAATATATGGCATAATGTATTTGTTGTTCGGACCGGAATATTCATCCCTCGAAAACTTGCCCATGAGCAGCAAACAGGCTTGCCCAATAGGCAGATCCTCTCAAGACAGATATTCCGATTTGAACCATAACATATGACAATATATTATTATTCTTGTACCACTAATTAATGTTGTATTAATGTGGTATTCAAGTTGTAGTAATGAGGTGTAACATATATTTTAGGTGGAAGAATCCGGTGAACACATTATTCTCGGTACAGGAGAACTCTACCTGGACTGTGTGATGCATGATCTCAGAAAAATGTACTCGGAAATAGGTAAAATTTGTATTATGTATTAAACCAGGGCTACCTAAAGTACTTACTGAAATGTAAAAAAAAATTTAGGCATTTTGATTTACTGTAACAACTGACAAAATGTCTTTTAGCAAGTGACATGTATCTTCCAGAAACAGATCTGTAACTATCCATATGAGTGCAATGTAATTTTAAAAGTCAACAGTTTTTAAATGATTAAATAGTTCAATAGATATAGCTCTATACCCTTTTAAATGCTTATTCTGGTGTAAGATTTACATGAAACATTATAGAGATATATATATATGTTATGACGTTTTCAGATATTAAAGTTGCCGATCCAGTTGTGTCGTTCTGCGAGACCGTTGTTGAAACATCATCATTGAAGTGTTTTGCTGAAACACCAAACAAAAAGTAAGTGTGATACACAGATAAACATCTGAAGTTCTCCACCACATATTTATGCTGAGAAGTTGCCAGATTATCTCAATTTATGCAGAATTCAAACAAGCATAGTGATATGTCTATTTTGACACTACAAAGCAGGACAACCTGTTCTCCTTCATGGATAAACATACTATAATTTTATACCATTGCATGCTTGATTTTAGACCTGGATATTGAAACCTTGTAAACCAAATATTGGCAATATGGAATTCAAGATAGGAGAACCCTGTCATAAGAAAATAGGTTTGAAAGTTTTTATATTGATATCTAATAATAGTCCCTTTTAGATAATATTTCATAATATAATGTGATTCTTAATAGGAACAAGTTAACGATGATTGCGGAACCACTGGAGAAAGGTTTAGCAGAAGACATCGAGAACGAGATCGTACAGATTACGTGGCCAAGGAAACGTCTCGGAGAATTTTTCCAGACCAAATACGACTGGGATTTGCTGGCCGCCAGATCTATATGGGCGTTCGGACCGGATGCCACCGGGCCTAATATTCTCGTAGATGATACACTGCCTTCTGAGGTAAAGATTTTTGAAAATAACTGTGTCTTTTGAGTGAGGCCAAAAAGTGTTGGAGGTATTTCGGTATATGCTGGACAAGGCACTTGAATGATTAAATGCTAAAATCTCGCCTTTACACCTGCTGAAATGCACTTTTAGATGCCTAATTCATCTGTTCACACCAATTTATATACCACCATGAATGACAAATGAATCAGAGAATTGGCGATATTTTTTGTACTTTGTAATCATAATTTCTGCAAGGGTTTAGAGGTACTGCTCCAACACTGTTATTAGTTAAATCCGTGTCTTTTTTTCCCAGTATAAGAAGTTAGTGCTGTATTCTTTAGACAGCTGCATGTGCTCGAATCAGTCGGGAACAAAGCATAAAAGTTTCATGTGTAGTTCATCTAAATTTGGGAAATAAGTGATCTGTTGTAGAATATGACTATAGATGTTGAATTTTAGAGAATTTTTATGGGAAATACTTAGAAAAAGAACTACAGGAAGTGCTTGGGACTAAAACTCCACCCTTACTTGATGTGCTTGGACTATAATTCCACCCCATTTTGATTTAGATTTTTGGTTTTTAGGCTATCTTTAATAATTATGTTGATACTGCTTCTCAGTTATTCATGGACAAATAGTTTTTGTAAGTTTACATCAAGAATGATTGTGAATGATTTGGGAAATGTGTCAGGTCTCTACCTAACATCTGACCCAGCAGTTCAGAGTCCTTGTGCGTGGTCCCGTTTTGGTGAAAAATTAACACTGGATATTTCCCTACTCACAGAATTGATTTAGGCATTTACTGAACATTTTACCTAGAAATGTCCTGTTAGGGTGGAGTTTTGATGATGCAAGGCCAAAGTCCCAACTGTTCACTGGATAATTTGGGTGGGGGTTTTGGAGGAAAGGGTGTAACAATATACAGAGGTGCAGTAATAGTATGAATTTGATTAAAATATTTTGCAATAAATATAGGTTATAAAGATATGTTTGTCTTAAATATTATATGTTGTTTTAAAACTTCAGGTTGACAAAAGTTTACTGGGTGCAGTAAAGGATAGTATAGTTCAGGGATTCCAATGGGCCACAAGAGAAGGTCCCCTTTGTGATGAACGTAAGTTATTTATTATTGTAAGACCTATTTTGAGTAAAAAAGATATTGGATTCTTTGGATTCTTTCATGTGAAAAAGCTTGCCCAACTGTGTTGCCTCATTAAATAAAGTTGTTACTTACTTACTTACTTACTTACTTACTTACTTACCTACTTACTTAATTACTATCAAGCCATCTTACAGAACATAGATGTTTCTACTCGGGTGCCATTTGTGCCTGAAATAATGAGGTCTTCAACCACCAGTAAAGCTGGAAAGTCGCCATATGACCTATACTGTGTAGGTGCAATGCAAAACCCAACCAAAAAAAATCACAAAAAAAACTAACTCTTTCCCTATCAAACAGTCTTACCCTTAAAATCCCAGCTTGTGTCAGTGGCTATTTAGATATAAACACTTCTTATAACATAGAAATGTTGTAGTCTTCAATGCAAAAATATTCCAACTTCGAGCCGACAAACATTGATAAGTTTTTGTCTGTTTTTGTATTTCAGCAATACGTAATGTAAAGTTTAAGATTCTGGATGCAGTGATCGCTCAGGAACCTATACATCGAGGTGGAGGACAGATTATACCTACAGCTAGGAGAGTAGCATACTCAGCTTTCCTTATGGTAAATATTTGTTTTCCTCAATCATGTCTTTCATTAGAGTCTATGCATCACGTAGTTCCAGCAGATGAAATGGTTTTGACCTCCGGTGTTGCTTAAAGTTTGTTACACCCGAGGTTAGCCAAAATCATCTTTCCTATTTCAGTGTCATATGGCCTAAATGAATTGTGTTGGTGCACTGTAAAACCAAACAAAACAAACAAACAAATCTTTCATTGATTTTATATTATTAAATATTAAATCTAGTTCAAAAAAGAAGTTTGTTGCAGAATTTAAGACTTATTTGTGTGAGAAATTGTTGAAGTATATTGAAGATTTTCATAAAAGAAGAAGACAAAGTGTCCTTAAGACAGTTTTAACAGCAGTGTTTGTGTATGGGTATAGTTTAAACATTATTTTAGCTTGATTGTGATTAAAGCTTTACCAGGCTAAATACTTGCATCTGAAATGTAATTTTCAAGTTATTCAACTTTAAGTGAAAATTTAAAAATAAGTACTGACTGAGTAGAGGTCTTTCGTGGCCAAGTAGTTAAGGTCATTGACTTTGAACCACTTGCCTCTCACCGCTGTAACAAGTGTCATCGGATTCTACATGTGAGAAAGTTATCCAGCTAGAGTACAGATCGTCTGTAGTAAAGATAAAACATAGCATGATTTTAGTAAGGACTGAGCTGTTCGATAGGAAAATGCTGATGTATGTGTGTTAATTAGGGTATGAGTGAATAGAATTTCTCCGTTATTTCAGGCAACACCCAGGATGATGGAACCCTATTATTTTGTAGAAGTTTTGGCCCCAGCTGATTGCGTGTCTGCTGTTTATACTGTCCTAGCAAGGAGAAGGTAGGCAACATGTATTATTATTTCTTTTACTTTTCTTCTGTTTCCTGCAGTTTTATGGAAAACTTCAGTAGATTAAGGAACATCCATGGCAATATTATAGATATCATACACTGTATTCTACTGAAGAATAATTGTTAGAGTTAATACCATTGGTATTACTGTAGACACTTTACAAATTAAACATGCAGAATCCAGGATTATTTACCAGAGAGGGTGTGGAGGGGGTCACATAATTTAGACAAGGGGTAATGCATATTCTAAAGGGGGTATGGCATTTAAGTAATTTTCCAGACGTGTTTACACGTAAAATTTTGGTTGATTTTTCACTAGTTCTGTGTGATAAAAGTAAGTTAATACCCAACTCATAGAGAGATTTCATGTGTGATCTCATTTTCATAAAATACCTATACCTGTATATGTTTTTGCTATAAGCATTGTAATAATGTTTTATTTGCAAATAAAGTTATTTGTATTGTATTTCAGAGGTCACGTGACACAAGATTCGCCGGTACCTGGTTCCCCACTATACACAATCAAAGCTTTTCTGCCAGCTATAGACTCGTTTGGGTTTGAGACCGATCTGAGAACGCACACACAGGGTCAGGCTTTCTGTCTGTCCGTGTTTCATCATTGGCAGATAGTACCCGGTGATCCCCTCGATAAGAGCATTCATATCCGGCCACTGGAGGCCCAGCCTGCTACCCATCTAGCCAGAGAGTTCATGGTGAAAACTAGGAGGAGAAAAGTAAGTTTTTGTTTAGCTTGTAGTCTGTGCCATCTTACCAGGCTTAATACTGCTGGCTGACAAATTTCAAATTTTCATCTTGATAACCATTCCCTAAAATATGTAATTACAGAAAGTCAAAGGCTGCGCACCCGGGCTTTGGTTTGCCCGGCTATAGACTACACATGTATATTCAAAAGTCAAATCAAATCAAAAACAATTAAAGAATATAAAGAATTCTATAACTATCAATGAAATTTTCAGTGTCAGTTTTAGTTGGGCGCTGCCATTTTCTATGTAACTCAGTGGTAATAGTATTCCGATAACAGGACAAGTGGAACTTTTCGGATCAATAATAATCGTTGATTGTTCTGAGTGAAAACTGAAGCGGTGCATAAAATACTGGATCACACCTTTAAAACGGAATAATGAATGATTTTTTTAACTGATTTCCCCGTTTATTGGCTTTTTCTTATTTCATATTAGAAAGTACCAAAATTGGAAGCTGGAGCTGATTTTGACCACTGGTACATGTGGTATTGCTTTAAGTTTTTAACACCCAAAATCACCTTTCTTGTTTTGGTATCATATGACCTAAATTGCGTTGGTGAGCTGTAAAACCGAACCAAACAAAAATGGAAAAGGCCCATCCACAATTCCAAAATTCCAGCTTAACATGTGAAAGGAATAATCTTTTTCACAGTAAAGAAATTGGAAATGCTATTAAGTTCATATTGTAGATTTTTAGTGTACTTTATAAACTGTTGTATTGATGTATGACTTGTATATTTGCAGGGTTTGAGTGAGGACGTGAGTATTAACAAGTTTTTCGACGATCCTATGTTGTTGGAGTTGGCGAAACAAGATGTACTACTCAGTTATCCGATGTAGATGTGAAATTAAAATTCTTGGAAGTCGAAACAATTTGGAACAATTTACATACTTATCCATGGACATATTTACAGCAAATAACAATGTACTCTTTCACACTGGTTAAGTGAAAGACAGGAAAATAAATGCAAAACTAGATGTACTGATTAGTTATTGGATGTAAATGTGAAATAAAAAATACAAGTTGACGTGGAAGTTTCACGCACTTATCCATTGACATATTGACTGCATATAATAATGTACACTTTCACACAGGTTTTAGTGCAAGACAGGAAAATAAATGATAGATTATAAACACCGGCAGAACACTACATAGAAATAGCTCAGTTGAAATGTAACATACGCTGCCATAGGGTGCGAAAGTAAATAATCAAATACACAGAATAAATAACGGAGATTGCACAATGGTTTTGATGCTAAGCTACATTTACCAATTTATTTTAAGTGGTGTTTATTCTATAAAGTTTGTGTGTTTTGTTAAGAACAAATTTCCTTTTTGACAATGAAGAAAACGCCTGTATTTAGTGAAGAAAACATCTGTATCTAGTGTGATTAGTGAAGAATACACCTGTATTCAGTGAAGGAAAATCTGTGTTTAATGTGGTCAGTGAAGGAAACATCTGTTTTCAGTAAAGTAAGCACCTGTTAAATGGGGGACATATGTATTTAGTGAACACCTTTGTTTAAGGGGGGGGGGACATCTGTATTAAGCCAAGGAAACATCTGTTTTCAGTAAAGTAAACGCCTGTATTTAGGTGGGGACATCTGTATTTAGTGAAGGAAACATCTGTATAAAGGGCGGGAATCTGTATTTAGTGAAGGAAACATATGTATTTAGGGGTGACATTTGTATTTAGTGAAGGAAACACCTGTATTCAGTGAGGAAAACACAAGTAGCTGCAGGGCATAATCAAAACGAAAATGCTATGTACAACAGCATATCCTTGCATGTTCTGATTAAAAAACAATATTAAGGAAAAAAGAATTCTTTTTGAATTATTCAAAAGTAACATCTTTCAGCATGCTTTTTGAGGAAATCTGAATGAATTGTAAATTCCATAATAATAATAATAAAATTTGTTTGTTTAACATGGATGATTATGAGACATCTTAGATTTCAATGAGATGAGTTTAGTAACAGATTTTTTTAAGAATCTTGTTTGTTTGTTGATTCATTAAATAAAATTGCATTACATTTCGTAACATTGCATTGCATTACATTACATTCTTTTGTTGTATGTTTTATTAGTCATTACATGTTTTTGTATTATGAATGTCTATCATGTGAAATTGAAATTTATAGGTCACGTGACAATAAAATACATAGTGAGAAACATAATGTGTTTGTAATTTTTGTATTTGAAAAAAAAACATATGAAATTTAATGGTCTCTGCAGGGCATTTTCACCTAATTACCAGGGGCCGAATGAATTCACAATCCAAAAATCGTATTTTTTCCTAATTTCAAATAAAGTTAAAAAAATCACAACAATCCAAAAAATTCAAACTGTTTAAATATTTGAGATAATTTGAACTGTTTCTTTAAAGATGTGACAGGTTATATGACCATACACATGTTAAATAAACTAAAAAGTCATAATATGATAGATTTTTAACTTAATTTCAAATTTACCAAACTGTCGAATGATTTTTCCCAATTTATGTCCGGGCTTTTTTAGCTCACCTGTCACAAAGTGACAGGGTGAGCTTTTGTGATCGCTTTTCGTTCGGCGCCCGACCGTAAACTTTTACTTTAAATGACATCTCCTCGTAAACCACTAAGCCAATTTCATCCAAACTTCACAGGAATGTTCCTTTGGTGGTCACCTTTAAAAATTATTCAAAGAATTTAATTCCATGCAGAACTCTGGTTGCCATGGCAACCAAAAGAAAAAACTTTAAATATCTTCTTTTAAAAAACCCAAAGAGCTAGAGCTTAGATATTTGGCATGAAACATCTTCTAGTGAGTGTCTACCAAGTTTGTTCAAATAAAAGCCCTTGGGTCAAAATTGGCCCCGCCCCAGGGGGTCTTTGATTTTCCCTATATGCATATAGTAAAAACTTAAAAAATCTTCTTTTAGTTAACCCATAGAGCTAGAGCTAAGATATTTAGCATGAAACATTTTCTAATGGGTGTCTACCAAGTTTGTTCAAATAAAAGCCCTGGGGTCAAAATTGGCCCCGCCCCAGGGGGTCATTGATTTTTCCTTATATATGCATATAGTAAAAACTTAAAAAATCTTCTTTTAAAGAACCCAAAGAGCTAGAGCTAAGATATTTAGCATGAAACATGTTCTAATGGGTGTCTACAAAGTTTGTTCAAATAAAAGCCCTGGGGTCAAAATTGGCCCAGCCCCGGGGGTCATTGATTTTCCTTATATGTGTATAGCAAAAACTTAAAAAATCTTCTTTGAAAAAAACCATATAGCTAGAGTTTAGATATTAAGCATGAAACATCTTCTAGTGAGTGTCTACAAAGTTTGTTCAAATAAAAGCCCTGGGGTCAAAATTGGCCCCGCCCCAGGGGGTCATTGATTTTCCCCATATGCATATAGTAAAAACTTAAAAAACTTCTTTTAAAGAACCCAAAGAGCTAGAGCTAAGATATTAAGCATGAAACATGTTCTAATAGGTGTCTACAAAAATTGTTCAAATAAAAGCTCTGGGGTCAAAATTGGCCCCGCCCCGGGGGTCATTGATTTTCCTTATATGTGTATAGCAAAAACTTAAAAAATCTTCTTTGAAAAAACCCAAATAGCTAGAGTTTAGATATTAAGCATGAAACATCTTCTAGTGAGTGTCTACAAAGTTTGTTCAAATAAAAGCCCTGGGGTCAAAACTGGCCCCGCCCCAGGGGGTCTTTGATTTTCCCTATATGCATATAGTAAAAACTTAAAAAATCTTCTTTAAATAACCAAAAGAGCTAGAGCTAAGATATTTAGCATGAAACATGTTCTAATAGGTGTCTACAAAGTTTGTTCAAATAAAAGCCCTGGGGTCAAAATTGGCCCGCCCCAGGGGGTCATTGATTTTTCCCTATATACATATAGTAAAATCTTAAAAAATCTTCTTTTAAAGAACCCAAAGAGCTAGAGCTAAGATATTTAGCATGAAACATGTTCTAATGGGTGTCTACAAAGTTTGTTCAAATAAAAGCCCTGGGGTCAAAATTGGCCCAGCCCGGGGGTCATTGATTTTGCTTATATGTGTAAAGCAAAAACTTAAAAAATCTTCTTTGAAAAAACCCAAATACTAGAGTTCAGATATTAAGCATGAAACATCTTCTAGTGAGTGTCTACCAAGTTTGTTCAAATAAAAGCCCTAGGGTCAAAATTGGCCCCGCCCCAGGGGGTCATTGATTTTCCCTATATGCATATAGTAAAAACTTAAAAAATCTTCTTTTAAAGAACCCAAAGAGCTAGAGCTAAGATATTTAGCATGAAACATGTTCTAATGGGTGTCTACAAAGTTTGTTCAAATAAAAGCCCTGGGGTCAAAATTGGCCCCGCCCCGGGGGTCATTGATTTTCCTTATATGTGTATGGCAAAAACTTAAAAATCTTCTTTGAAAAAACCCAAATAGCTAGAGTTTAGATATTAAGAATGAAACATCTTCTAGTAAGTGTCTACAAAGTTTGTTCAAATTAAAGCCCTGGGGTTAAAACTGTCCCCGCCCCAGAGGTGTCATTGTTTTTAACTATATGTGTATAGTAAAAACTTAAAAAATCTTCTTTTAAAAAACCCAATGAGCTAGAGGTTAGATTATAAGCAGGAAACATCTTTTTGTTGGTGTCTACCAAGTTAGTCCAAATAAAAGCCTTTGGGTTTAAATTGGCCCTGCCAAGGGGGGGGGGGGCTGAGGTCATTGTTTTTCATTATATGTGTGTAGTTAAAACTTAACATCATGAAACATCTTCTAATGGGTGTTTTCCAAGTTTGCTCAAATAAAAGCCCTGGGGTTTAAACTGGCCCCGCTCCGGGGGCCTATATACAGGTGAGCGACCTCAGGGCCATCATGGCCCTCTTGTTATGCTTTTCCCAAAATAGTTGGGAATGACCTTTTCTCTTAATGTCATTTTTTAGTTATATGTTTTATGTAAGAGCTAGATACTGCTTGAAATAACTAAATGTCCTGATTTAAAAGCTAACAGAATTCCACCGAGGTTTTTAAGCCTAAAACATAAAAAATTAATTTCTCGCATAGATCAACTGCGACTCTTAAAACAGAAAGTTTAATAAAATATTACTAAGAAATATACTGTGAAATACATGGAAAATCGTATGATTGTGCTATATTCAGTCCGATTTGAGTGGAAAAAAAAGCGTTGCAACGATTTTCAATTGAAGGTCATTTTTCAGAATTATAATAATTATTCTAGAAAAACAGAGCAAGCTAATGATCTGAAATTTTGCATATAAGTTGTTGGTATAGACCTATATCAAATGGAGTATTAACCTCGAACAATTATTTCAAGTCCCGTCCTGTCAAAAATCTCATTGAAGTCCCTTTAATGTTTATAGCCCAGTTGTATATCTCACCCACTTAATGAAGGAAAATTCTACATTTTGAATTAAAGCAGCATGCCTCTATATTCCTGTTTGTTTTCATGATTTAATAAGTAAAAAATTGTGAAGTGAACATAGAAATTAATTTACACATTGCAGATGGCACTTACAACCCATGTAAAATTATCAAAAAAGAGGTATAAGCAAACAAACCTTTTACTTGCATTAGTAACGCATTAGAAATATCCTGAAAAAAATACTGGAAAATCGATAATTTATCGCACATAACTTGGTGGAATTTATTACATTTATCTTGAATCCTTACTTTAATAAAAAAACCTCGGTATCTCAAGTTTTTTTTTATCTTAATATTTTGGCTCATCTGAAGGCATGCAGCTCTAAATAAACTTACAAAATAAAATGATTTAAATTGAAGTCTTGATGAACTATACTGTATAACATGACTGCATTAAAACTGCAAAAGCACTGTAACTCGAAAGTGAAATGAAAACAGGACAGGGAGAGAAAAATATACACAGAAAGAGCAAATCAAAAACGACCATGCCATGTAACTAATGCAAGGGACAATTAAATTAGTGTACATTGTATTTTTAAGAAAAGAAATTCATACTTCTTATATACAGAAAGAGCAATTCACACACCCGACAATGCCATTCGGTCCTACTCTTGGCCATATACCTTGGGCTAGGGCATTGGGTCTGATAAAGTAGTAAATTTGTTTGTTTGTTTGATTGGATTTTACATCGCACCGACCGACACAGTATAGGTCATATGGCGACGTTCCAGCTTTACTGGTGGAGGAAGACCTCAGGTGTCTGTCCGTGCATTATTTCAGGCACAAACGGGCACCTGAGTAGAACCACCGACGTTCCGTAAGCTAGCTGGATAGCTTCCTCACATGAAAGAATCGAAAGTCCCTATCTGGATTCGAACCCACAGCGGCGAGGGGCAAATGGTTTGAAGCAAACGACTTTAACCACTCGGCCACGGACGCCCCATAAAGTTTTAAAGGAGAACATCCAAACTAATGTAATTTTTGTAATCCGTAATGGGGTCACACAAATGATGTTTGAAAGATTGACACCAGAAATGAAATACAGGAAAAACGAGTTAACGATAAAAAACGACAATTTTTTCTCGCGTTAGAGCTCTGTGCTGTATTTTATTGTAAAGAAGAATCTCTATGCAATTGCTAATCCGCAACCAAATTACATAAAATGATGTTTCAACAGTTTTATCATGAATCACTACTGTTCAAGGCATAAATTCTTATGATATTTAATACAACATCAAAATCACATTTTCATGAAGTTGTGAGGCCACTGTTTTGTGCCCATTTGAATTTACATAGACCATAGGTTATAAATCGTAGTCTCTGCAAAAATGCTTGTGAAATTTTCTTTCCAGATAGTAAACATATCACCGATTTTTAAAATTTTCAAAACGACCACGCTGCTTGGGGACTTGGGTTACAGTTTTGTGCTTTATATTGCTGTAAAGAACCTCAAAAGTATTGCAAAGGTCAATCGTAAACGAAATCGGACGAAAAGTGTTTGTACGGTTGGCTCCAGAAAATGGTGTGTTTTTTTTAAAAGAAAGAAATTTCATACTTATAAGATACAGAAAGAGCAAATAACCTATCTAAGAAACGACCATGCCTTGCGTGCCTCAGGAGGCTATTTCCTCAGGAACTGTGTGTCTTATATTGCTATAAGGGAGAACTTCCAAACTCCAATGCAAAACAAAGTCAGACAAATTGTAATTTAACGGTTTGCACCAGAAAATAGTGTGTCTTTTA